AGACAATATGGCAGATCAGTTCTAGTTATAAATTAAAATGAAAAAGAAGACATATATGGAGCTTTGTTAACCGAAAACAAGATGTGATGTGAGAATTATTTACACAGACTCACAAATTTCTCAGAAATAAAAACTTAACGGACATTTCAAAGTAATTTGATTGACAACAATCAGCGAGTACTAGAGAGCTGTTCGTTTATTGAGACTTATTATTAGTACATATTGATTGAGGTTCGAACCCATGACCTTCTAGTCACATGGTGAGCTCGTGGATCATCCAGCCACTAGGACACAACCCAATATTCATGGATTCTGAACTCTGATGATTGGCGATATATGTAGTGCAACCACCAGCGGAATGTCATCCGTGGTGAATGTCTGTCATCACACATGGCCAGCTGTCTCCCACTGTTCACGACTTCTCACCGTGAACTAGGTAGCTAGCCACCTGAATGGAATCAGTCACTAGTGAGCATCAGATTGATATTCAGGCGTTCGTTTGGAAGTTGATTTGAGTGATTACAGAATTTCATCAAATCAGTTAACTGGTAAATGTTACGAGCAAATTATCTTAGGAGTGAGGAATGAAAATAATCATGTGATTCCGGATGAGTCAGTTTGTATAGAGCGACAACTAGTTGTTGCGTAATCGAGAAATTCATAAAAATATTATGAGTAAGACGAGAAAATGACTAAGTAGAATTGGGTGAGATGCAAACAAGTTAGTTGAATTAGCCAGGATAGTAATCTCAATAAAATAAAAAAGCCAAGACATTGTCATAAGGGGAGGGGAAAATCGTGTTTAGAAAAGTTAATATATGATATGTAGTTGGTCATGGTCAAGAGAAGCGCTGCACAAACTTCTTTTGAACGCACACACACAGACTCGGTTTGTTTAAATGAATCCCGACTGTCTGTGCTGCATGTAAATCCCCTACTCGTAGACCATTAGACAAGCATTTGGGTGACATACGATGAAAGCTTTGTTAGAGTCGACTTCATGTCTCGTATCGAAACGGTGAACTAGTTAGTATCCAACGTCGTATAGCTTCATTTGGACCTTTGCTAAATGAAAATGAGAGGTGTTCGCAAATTCGATGGTGAAATTGTCTGGTCGTATGTTCAATGTGACCAGCTCGACTGAAGCAGTCAGGCTGGTATGAACACAGCGATTAGGCGAAACTTGACAAGCAGTTCGTCCTTATTTTGTTAAACTTGGTGACTATTGGTTAGCTAGTGAATTGAATTCGATAACCGTTTTCACCCCTCCCTTCTTCAATCCTCAGACATCTTTATAGCATCTGCTGGTCAGTTGTTTTGATGACTTTTCCTCTCTTACTTTCGGCGCTTTCATATACCGAAACCACGTAGTTCTTACAGAGTAATGTAACTGTTTGTATGAACATGTCTTTTTCGTCCAAACTTCCACCATACTGTTTCATTCAAACTCAGTTTACATCAAAGGATTAGTAGCCACCCCCATTTAAGCCTAGTCTGTATTGAATTATGTTCTGTGGATGTTACCTAGAAAGGCAATGTCATCTGCGACACTAAACCATCAGGCTCAGGGAACAGAACTATTACAAAAAAATCAATATTTTTCCGACTGAAACTTACAACAATCTCAGTAGCATATTCATTTCCTATTCTGTTCTCTGTAGTTCTCCTCATCTGACTTTGTGTTTCCCTGTATGTTTCCCCACTCCATTTACTCCACATCACCATCGAAGACATTTCTAAAAGGTTTTCCTCTTCAGGCTCCATTAATATGCTTCGCACACTCAGATACAGGCTGGAATACTGGACGATTATTTTCAGCTGTCTGTCTCACAAATGATTTGTTTTATTCAGGCACACTGAGTCGGCTTATGCTGACGTTTTTCTACCATTATTACTGGAATTTTCATCAACATAAATGTTGATCTTACACAGAATCAGTTAAACAGTTAGATGAAGAGGATACAAAGGTAGTTCAATCAGTACTAATTCCAAGTAATACTCAATATTTCTATTTTGTGATGGACGACATGAACTCATGAATTCTGGAATTCACTCCATTCACTTTTTTTTCAATTAGACTTGTCTTTCGACAAACATTTCAGATATCATTTCGATTTAGCGTGTGACTGCTGAAGAGAGAGCGAGAAAGTCAAATTACACTCGTGTTAAGCTTAAAAATTGATCAAACGAAGCTTTTCCGTGGATGGTTCTATCGGCTGTACAAGCGATGTGTGACAGACGAGTGTATGCTTGCCTCCTCTAAATGTTGTGATATGTTCATGATTTCAAAGAAGTGCACAGTTTCTGCCTCTAACAGGCCTTTCTGACTTTAAATAGATACGTGGTCGTCGAAGAAACAGACCATATTAAGAAATAAGTTATGGGGGACGATAGGCAAGTAGATTGCACATTGAGAAGTAGAATATTTATTAGAAGCTTCATTGCTTCTCCTTAGGATTTTTATTTCGTGGTTCATCTTATTTGTCATCACAAACAAACTGATGACCATCGACGGGGTGGTAAAATGACACTGAGAAATCGTTGAAGTCAAATTTCATCACAAATTCAAAATGATGGAGAAATGTTAGTAGTTAAAGTGGATATTTTAATTTCGTTATACTCTCTTGACCCACACAGACTAGGAGTGGACCTGCCATTATTCTACTAGGCAATACTGTAAAATTCAGATAACTACGTCTCTGTTTGCAGGTGGTGACTTAACTGCATCTATAACAAATATCTTCCGATGCCTCAGTGGTAGGGTTCGTTTTAGTAGCATATTTGCGTTATGAGTCCTTTTCAAAATAAGTGCGCTGCAGCCTTGTTATGGGGAAGTCTAAAATGGGTCCTCTGAAGGATTTCACACTGCCGCGTCTGGAACCAGCGAAAGCTGTTGCTTTAGAGAAGTTGTTAAAATGCATTCTATAGGAATTAAAATTAGGAATGAATGATGCATATCAGTGGGCAGATTATATGAACGTATTAAGCTACAATCTCAGCAGGATATCCCGCTTCGAAACCTGTAAAACTAACAGAGTAGATTTTATACTCGATAACACTACGCTATCGGAATACCGATAAGCATAAAATTATGTGAATCCTTCTGACTTATCCTATAGGGGAATGAAAATTCTTCACTAAACTGTACAAAGTTCGTAGGCAAGTGCATGACGATAAATTCAGCTGATATACAGCTGAAAGATGACACGAGCAGCAACACATCCAGTGGACACCTCAAGGTCGTACTTCTCACACTAGAAGACACCTGGTAGCGCGCCAGTCTGGTTACGAAGGTTATAGGGTTTCCTATGTAAGCGTCCATTGGAAAACCCTTGAGAGACGAGTGAGACATCAATGGTGAAGAAGGATATTCTTGGATACGTCAACAGACAAGCATTCAGTGAAATCAAAGAATTAGGGAAGAATGATATTCAGACGGAATATACAGGTTACGCCTTCAGAGTATCTAGAAACTATACCCCATTATTTAAGGTGACTTGACATATGTCGGCGGATGACTGAGTAATACTAGACTATAACGTTCAACAATGCATCTAGTCATATTACCTGCAACGTATACTGTCACGGAAGTTATTGTGAATTTGAAGGACATGCGGGAGTGGCTCATGTGTTCCAGCATCACGTAGGAAATGTTGGCTATTGCACGATGCAGCAGTAGTTGAGCGTGTGGTGAACAGATACATTGGTTGCCGAATGGATTCTGCAAAACCCACTAAGAAACTGATCGCACACTTATTAATGGCAAGAATTACGTCAGACGTTTCATTTTCGAGCATTCATGTGGATTACTTTGGTCCCTTCAGTAATAAGTGGGGACGCATGTCAGAGAAAGGATATAGATGCATATTTGCTTGTTTGGAAACTCTAGCGGTTCACTCGTAAGTGGCTCACATTCTTTATGTCGATTCATCTTTGTTGATATTTTCACGCCTCACTAACCATAGAGGGAGGTAATTCAAAAAATATGTACATGGATCGAGATACAACTTTCGATGGGGCTGATCGTGAATTGTGGTGTCTTATTACAATTAGACGGCGATCGCATAATGAGAGCTATGACAAATCGTGACACATAGTAGCAACTAAACCCACGCCAAGCCAGGAGGTTAATTAGAAGCGTGTGTCAGTAGTTGAGAGCGATTTCGGAGGAGCGATTCCTTACAAACGAATTGCTTATAACCTACTTGGTGGAAGTAGAAAAGATGCTAAATATTGGACTGCTCGTATCTGTTCACAATGACCCGGACGAGTCAGCCGGACGCGATGACTACTGTTATCCAGAAATCCTGACCAGGTTCCAGAAATCGAAGTAAGTTTGTCTGAACGCTATTGATAACTACAGAAATAAGTAAAAATCCACGCCGATACGTTTTGCAGCCGGTAAAACTAGCAGTACTTAGCGATCATACAATTAAGTACAAAGTAGATTCAACAACATCGAAGCTTTCAAGTGGGAGATTATGGGTTAATTGTGCAGAATACGTTATCCAACCAATGATTTCCACTGTAAGTAGTCACTCCTGGAAGGAGACGAATGATGGAAAACTTTAATAACATTAAGTGGTGTGAATGACACAATAAATGCATGTATAAATCAGAACAATGCTGATTAACAAAAGTCACGTGAGTAGTGGGATCATCGAGTACTTTCGGAGATTGTAGTCTATTCTGTAGTGAATTTTAACACACCACTTTGAGAGAGTCATTGGAGTGAATGCGACACATCAGTGTTTAATATCATTGAAGATTAGCTCCCAGAACATTCGCTGGTGGGTCACAATTCATGTCCTTTGTTGGTTGCACTAGCTTGTATGCAACACCTGATATCATAATATTAGAATTATTGCAACTGTTGATTTTCCAGGTCACTGCAAGTCTCAGTAATTCTAAGATCTGTAAATAAGTGGTAACTCATAGGTTAATGTTTTGTGATGTGAACACTCCCGGTTAACTCTGTGGAAAAAAATCCGTCTATAGTAGTTCACAATCTATTTTGGCATAAGTATCCAATTGGTGTATAACACAGGTGATACAGAAATTCTTGAAAAGCGACAGTTTACCATCCTGAATTTACAATTACTTTATAATTATATATATATATATAAGCCTACAGCTCTGCCAACAAGTTTACCTCTTCTTTCCATACGGTCTTCTTCATGTCATCTTTGGACATTCAAACTCTCCCCCGCCAATAGAGTTTCCACAGGATGGCCTAGCATGTGATGTCAATGGGAATTCCGTATTAGTTTGTTTATTAGATATATCACACAGTGAAACAGTATTATTTACTGGATGACGTTTCGAACAAACTAATATGGAATTACTTACTACCACAGTGCCGAGGTTTTGCACAAATATTAACATGTCAATGGGAAGTCTCGTAAGCATTCATTAAATCTTTTATGTATACAGTAGATGACAGATTACTATAATATATGCAGAAGAAGTAGCAATCCGACGAGTGGAGCATGATTTATGTCCACAGAGGATAATTTTAGATCCACCTTACATCGTTTTGATAATTTCCTGTTTCAAAAATCACATTTTTGATTTTTTCTTCGTTCATCTATTCCATTCTTGAACAGCCTTCATCTTTCTAATCCTGTCCTCCATCCATTACTTATGTTAAGTAGTGTACTGTCGCATCTATAATTCTTATGCATGTATTAACATTATACGGAAATCATATTATTATAGAAACCAGTCTTTCATATGTTTACTGAATATTAGCCTCTGTATCATTGAACATTAGCGTTTGATTGGTTAATTTAGGCGGTCACACACGCTTATTTCTGGTTTGTATGCTTCGAAGTTCAATTTCCCTATTAGTGCACTTTCCCAAAACTCACTTATTCAATACAGCCTAGTTGGTATTTGGTGGCACACAACAGTTAGCACATTATAGAATGTGAATATGTTAAAGCCTACTCATTGTAGCCAGGCATAGCGGGAAACTATGTAAGTCATGTTCATTAGTCTATCATTGATGTCTCAGCGTTATGTGATCACTTATAATGCGTCAGCTGCTCATTCTCTACCACCTTGAATCCTAATTATGCCTCATCTGTATTATATTGATGTGTAGTAAGGCCCTACCTCCTTTTTCTGCTGCTTTTGATATGGTTGTAAAAGTTCAGTGTCATCTAGTGCTTTTCTAACGCGCTTACACGAATCATGTTACTCTCATTTCAACCTGCATGTTTCTGAGAAATGTGCTGTGAATCTGGTCTCTCAAGATGTGTATCCCAAAACCTCAATGTCATACTTCACCAACATTGAAGACGAAGTCTTCAAACTTTTTAAAATTACTTGAAACAAAGCTCAGTGTCCGTTCATGTAGCTCAGTCAACGTTGTGCAGAACATGACTCATAGAAACTGGGTAAAACACTGGTGAGCACTAACTATCCCATGCTCTATTCTGTCCCATCTAGTTGATAGTCACTAGTCAGTGAACGTAACCAAGACAGTCAGTCAGTATAAGTAATCTCCTTGATAGTCATCACACTCGCCTTTGGCATAAGGGAGATTCTAAAATAGTCTGAAGTAATATCCTAAACTCCAGGAACAATAAAATCTGAGTACAGCTACTATCAATTCATCGGTCGGTGAAGAACAAACTGACCAGTCTATGGACACTTACACACATCACATTTCCTACCCTTTTCTCGACAACCGCATTTCTTCTTATTGTGTCAAAACTTCGACGCATTTCACCTACTTCGCTCATTTTCCAGTATTACTCAATCCTATCAGCAAATCACGATGACTATTTTATGTCGATTATGCTTATTTGTAGGGTTGCATTTCATCGGAAAAGATTCGTGGAGAGGTCTAGTCGAAAAGTGATTTATCTGACCACATATTCCCTTCCCGTGTGCTCATCGCGTTTCTACTGCTTTCTAGAGGTACGCGTGATCCATAGTTTGAAAAAGGAAGAAGCTCTGGATAAACCAATCAAAATCATTTTATTATTCATTCGGAAAATTATTAAATTAATTTATCAAATCAAAATAACTAGCTATTTATCTACGTTTCGAAAAATAAAATTAAACAGCGCTAACTACTCCACACTGTATGATCCACGACGACTAAATCAGTATATTGGAGCTTTTTCTGCGATCTTAAGTAAAAGATAAAATGCAAAGAAAATATGTTATTCTGATAAGAATTCACTAAAGAGAGTATAGTCAGTAAGTCTATCAGCGATTGGCTTTGGATAATCCTCTGAATGTTTCCAGAAATCTCTCCCATCAGAGTTCAGCCATAAGTTATCACTTGCATGTAAGCAGACAGATTTTACCAAATCAACTGGGGGTTATTCTGTCAATCTATTCTTACCTGAATTCCATCCAGGAAACCTCGAAAAACTGTTTTCAGACCTAAATTACAAAAACAGTAGTGTTTTTATTTCAATGAGGCTTGAAATGAAAGTACATCTGAGAAGGTACACAGATAACAAAGTGAAACGGTGGTTATAAAACTGGAAGCTGCACCACTCAACTTTTCTATTTACATTTGAATTCAAGAATTCCATACTTTGACTGTAACAAGAAAATTCACTATACTTACTGGTATTTTTTAGATAGGCTGCTTGTTCAGCATGCACTTTGGATATCAGATCAACTAAGCGTTTAACTCCTGGAGAAGGAGAGAATCAAAGCAGAAATACGTTCGGTCATATATATATATATATATATATATATATATATATAAATGAAATTATGTGATAAAGGAGTTTACAAGCGTTGAATAACAACAGACGAATGTCAACTTCATTCCCTTGAATTTTCTAGTATACTTGACATTCTGCAGATGTAAATGATTTATGTTGGTCATTCACAATGTAAAGCAGGTTGTACGAGCTTATTCGAGATTGATAGTCAGTGTCAATGTGCTAAATCGTCTGTGGGCGAATACAAGAGACATCGATATGATGTATTTCTGTCTTTTGTTATTGTTTTCTATGGCAGTGTATACATGCATATATCATATATGAAATACCTTATGACATTGGTTACAGGATTTCATCATGAGCTGACATTGGTTAGAGACATTCGTTGGCTCATAATGAAATCCTGTAACCAATCAATCAAATCCCTAAAAGACCAAGACTTATGACATTTGTATAGAGTATAATTGTTTTTATTTATCGGCCTGTGAGAAGGAATAAATTTCTGGTTGTCAGCATCATACAGGAACCAAGAAAGAGATCTTCACAACTGAACTATTTTCTTTTATAAATTTGAAAGAAATCCAGAGATTCCTGTGATAAGTACTGACTTATTTTTTTCTGTTGTAGTTGAGGTCATCTCTGATATGAACATTGGAAATGAAGACTTCTAGATATCATTCTAGGCAGCATATTCAGTACTTATGAACTATGCAAACAGTAACTTACTTTCATCTATAAGGAAATATTGAATCATGATTAAAGTAAGTCTGTTTTCACGAATCAGGCTAATCAATGAAACTATGTGAGTAATATGCATATGAATAATATCTTCACACTAATATATGCATGACAGTGAATGACATTTAGATACCTTGAATTTCAGTTGGAGTTAGAAAGGCATTGCAACCTTTATTTCTTGGACCGTATCTCGTTTCTATTCATTGTAAATGAGAAATAAAAAAAATGCCAATATGTATATGGATAGTGACGGAAATATATAAATATATCTTCATTAATATCGGTTAATTTAATATGATTATTTTGCAATATAAACTAACTTTTCAGAATTTCTAAAATTTGTAGTCACCATGATACAGAGAAATAACAAAAACAGTATTTATTAAAATCTCATTATCTTCTGAATAAGGATGTTTAAGTGTTTATGGAACTTATCACGTTGATGTGGTTGAATGAAGGAGTGTTTATTGAATGCACTGGTTAAATATTGAAGTTAGAACTAAAGAAAACCTGAATTTTATTGACCACTCGAATAATGACAGTATTTTCAGCTGTCCAACTAACTAAGTGATGACGAACTAAGAGTGAGATGTAGGTGATGATTTTATCATTGAAATAATCAGAGTATAACGAATTGATGTAAGCATAACTCTGATGCGTGGAGGTAAAAGAAACACTGATATCCCCTAAGAGGTTAGTTACTCACCTATGGCAGCAGATGGCAATTGCGCTACATATCGCGAATTGGCAGAAGTTGGCATTCACGAGCCATTAGATCAAGTCCCAGAGGTAGAATGGTCTAAGAGCTCACCTTGCAACTAGATGGTCCTGACCTCAAACCCCAATCAGTGTTTACTGATGAGGAGTCCAACAGTTTATGTTTAGTACTACCAGATTTTCAAATGGTTCTCTAAATAACATCAACTCGTGATCTTCATTTTTATTTTTTTCATTTTTGATTACAGCTTGATTGCACATTGTACATTTTGGCATAAGTATGGAACTTTCAGCATGTTATATAGGTAGCCCGAATTTTACAGACTGACCAGGGGATCGAACCCTGGACCATGTGCATGGTCAGCGGGAGTCCTAACCACTGTGACACCGACTCACAACTCGTGATCAAACGTATAAATTTTCTAAACAACCGGTATTAACGATAGCAACAATATCAAGTAGCAAGTGTTGTGTAGAAGGCGTGCAGACAGATAGAAAAAGTAGATTTTCCCATAGGGAAGTTTTATAATTACTTGTATACTTATGAATGAGGTGCTCAGCTTCATATATTTGATTGTCAGTATTCACTGCAAAGCTTACTGAAAAAAATATAAAAATGAGGGGATGTACACTTCTCAAAACAATTCTACTATTCAGTAAAAAATACATGTCTTATACCAGGTCTATAATTGGTTTCTCTGATATTCAATGAGAGATTTTAACATGATGGTACACTGAAATCCCTGAAATTTCTCTCATTCTTGGTAGTAATTGAACTTAATTATACATCATAATGAAATACTGAAAGACTTTTTGTCCCATTCACAATTAATTTATTAGTTCATATGAATTCAAGGCAGCAAAGCGACGTGATATTACATGATTGTAGGCGAATAGAGGGAAGTCTCGCATCCAAACGTCGCGCTTGTTGACACTCACAAGCCAGTATGGTGTATCTAGAATCTTGGAGGAACTTCTATCCACTCTGAGCTCGGAAACCGGGTCATTCAGTTCTGCAGTTGAAGACGTCATCAGTGACCTATTGGCTCGTGATACCACTCCTACATGACTGTATTTGACACAAGGTAGTAACGACGAGTGTCAATAAGCATGAAACCTCCAACTACCTATAAACTACAATTCACGATGCACCATGGTGCCGATTCCCTTAGCATAGTGATCACATTGCAAACTCAACTGACAAAATTCAGTCTGCACCAGACGACCAACCAGATGCATGACGCCAGTGACTGACTTATGTCCGACTAAGGTGAACTATTTTCAAATCAATAAGGACAATAAATCTCTGGAATCCATTAGCTTAACGACAACCCCATGTGTATGCACTTGAAAGGGAGTGTGATTACTGCCGCTTTCAACTGAAGTCAAAATATTCTCTGAAATATTGAGATAATTAATACGTGCAAAAGGAATCATACTGTATTGATATTTCAGTCTTTTCATTTCTTCGAATAAATCTGTTGGATTGTATATGCAAGGAATTCAGAATAGAAACAATAACTTCATTGGGATAATAAAAAGCGTGAACAAAATAGATGAATAGAGACAAAAGCAACTAACATGATAATCTCGGAGTAGGTGGTTGAAGAAACAAACAATCAACCCTTAAAGGAATTCACTGATCGCCGTATGTGTACCGTTATTACGGAACTCATCTGAGAATGAACAGCGACTCTCTGCACTGGCTTAGATTCGCTATTGACTACTGGTTCTGACTCATAGTGCAAATGTGCGATCAATAGCCAAACCTATATAAAAGTTCATCTAGATTCGTCATCTTCGTGAGCAAGCCAAAGCAAGAACAATGGCTGGGAATAGTTTATGCAAGGATTCATTCGCTTTATGGCATATTCTGATGAATTATTTTTGCTATCAGTAAATAAACATTTATTCAAATTTCACGTACAATTGTAAGCATCTAATAGGCTGCGGGCAGCGGTGTAGCTTTCTTGGCATTCTTGAACTAAAAAGATGATCAATTCTCTTTAGAAAGTATGTCAGTTGACTTACATCTCCTGAGACGCCTCCTGTTCTTTATTACCTTTCTTACTAATTTTACTGAAGAAGAGTACAGCAGGTGAAAATTAGTCACATGTATGTATAGCCAGAACGATATTCAAAAAGTGAACTAAACAGCTTCATATACCCATTCCATGCCACATTCATCTTCATCGAATGAACCACAAAACGACACTTCGACGAAATATTCACTGAAGAATCTAGTTGAATACATGCAGACAAGTGTCCCAATGGTGGTATAGTGGAAGGAGTACATCAAGAGAGGTAAATTTCAGTGGCTTTGGAAATCCACCAACAAACTATTTCATATGTAATATAGATTCGATTTATTCTGGCTGGAGTTGGATTCGTGATTGTGTATTTTCTTCTATTTAGGACTAATCAGTAGGATGTATACACATTTCCAGTGAGTGATGGTGTCCCCACTGACGGTCGAAGCCTGCATTCATCATCTCAAGCGACAAAGTGTTTCAGTGAGAAAATCACCAGAAGACAAGTGAATTTGCTTTAGACTTTGAATAAAGTCCAGCATGTTATGCAAATCAATAAAGATGAGAGTAAAACTCTTTATGCTAGTAAATTCAACTGCTTCTGTCACTTCTAGTACTGAATTCCTAACATTGTTGACAGCTTGGTTTTCATTTTATCATTTAGTCAAGAGTTACAAAAAATTTGGAAACATAAATAATATATTTTTATTAAAAGAGGTTAGTTAAGACATGTTCACTTCACCTTGTGCCTTTATATCTGATTCATATTGCTTAGTTAAATTCTCATTTATAAGAATCGCATCTATAAAACGATTTAAAGTGAGAAATGAATTTAAAAATAATGAAATTTCTAATAAACTAAACAATTTCATGTAATAACCCAGTGTCCATCATTTACTAAGTAGGGAAGTCGATATTGGCTGAAGTCTTTTTCGAGTTGAGCATAACTGATGATTACCTATCTGTCTATAATGCATTGCAACGATAATTGTGTTTTTGTGTCAAAGAACAAGGTGGTGGGTGGTTCGTGACATCCATGGATTCAAGCTAAGAAAATTGAAGATTTGGATCTCAGTAGCCTGATGAACAGCATTCAGATATTTGTGCTCAACACCATACAAATTATACTAACTGATAATTCCAATGAAGAATGAATTCCATACCGTGGCTCTAAACAATAATCATTCAGTGTAGAATTTATGGTATTGCTTTGGGTACCGCGTGATAAACATGGCTTCAGCAAGAGATCGCCATTTCTTCATGTTCTCTGAAGTTCTCTCTAAGTGCTTGCATAATCTCCGAATGTGTTCTGATCCCTTCCCTACAGAATCCACTAACTACTCGTTTACCATTCGAGTTCCACTCGATGGTCTGTGTGGTACATGATATCACTCAGAGGTCTTCTCAAACTACGATCGATCCATCTGCATTTACTTCAGTAGTTCTTAAACTCCTTAACATGCAGAAAGTCTTCAGTGATTTTAGTATGTTGAACTACTCCTCTCAGGGTTCTAGTGTATGCTTATGACAAAGTGAACTCAATAGAATGTACTGTATTATACGCATTCAATCTATTGCGCATAGTTTGAAAATGATGCTGAGAAACAGAGAAACAAACAAACAAATATTCAAATTACAGATAGAAGCGTTGGTATTAAGTGTAGTGAGACTCACCGTCATAACTCTTGATTATTCTTTCCACAGCAATTCTTACATCCCCGAATATTTCGTATTCTTGAAGTAAAAACAAAATAGTGAATTTAATCGAATTGGACACACTCTTATTTTCGTCGTTGTGATATTGATATGTACATAGATGGCCTAACTTTTCATCTCTGTGAGACCTGAATATGTGATTTAGAAGGAGAGGATGTATCGATCTAAGGTCTGGTGCATATTCCTTTTCACGCATTGTCAATTTGATTCAATCAACATAAAGCATAACAACACTGAATAAACTTCATTTGAAAAGTCTAGCTTGCCTCAGTACCAGTATCTGTATACAGACTTCATCATATGCCTATAAGATACCTCAAATCATCCTTCATGCTTATTTTATTTTATCAAATAGTTCACATTTCAAGGTTGACTTGGACGACATTGTGTGAAGATGGAGGCGAGATCCTGTGAATTGCCATCAGGTAAGTTAAGACAGATTCCACAGGATCGGCTCTTACGGAGGTGTTCCGGTGAAGCCTTATCTTCCAATCCCGACACGATGAACTAATGTGAAAATAATCGAGATCTTTAATTTCCCTGTGTGGTGGAGATACAACGCGATTATCGGGAACCAGTACCGATTCAGCCTTTGTATGATTAAGTCAATTCTCAGAATGAAGATAATGGTGATAAGTGAAAAGTTTGATGAAGGCGAGGATCCAATTGCATTTCGCATACATAAATATCGCTTAAATCATAAAATGGAAAGACAGATGACTTACCTGATGTTTCACATGTACACAGTAAGAAAGCAATTATAATGAGGTTAATAGGTGTGGATACTAATGCCATGGTCATTCTGTATCTCTTCAGAAGCCGTTGTATTTATATTAAAATTAACAAGAGAAAAGCTATGCTTAGGCGCCATTTGTAGATTAAGAAATATAGCATTAATATATGATGTTATCGGGTGTTTTCAATGGCACTACCAATACTGTATCAAATTTAATTCTTCGGTAACCCACAGATTGATAGTCATGAAGTGTAGTATTGTTTCCCACTCGAATGACTGTTTTGTGTGTGATAACACTCAACAGACACTTCACACAGTACCTTCGACCCATCTCCATTGCCCTCAGTAGTTCTAACACTCCTTAACATACAGAAAGTTTTCAGCCATCTTACTGTGTTGAACTACTCCTCTCAGGGTTTCACTACATGCTTATGTCAAATTGAACTCAATAGAATGTATTGTCTTTTATGCGCTCAATCTATGGAGTGTAGTGTAAAAAATTGGTGCAAAACTGACAAACAAACAAATATTCAAATTACAGGTAGAAGTTTTGATAAGAAAAAAGTGTCGTAAGTCTCACCAGCATCATTGAGCATTTCTTCCATCTCAGTTGTTTCATTTCTCTGGAGTTTGACATCTTCAAGTTAAGAATAAAGTAAATTCAATCGAAGTGGATACACTATGATTTCCGCCATTATGAGATTGACAAATACATAAAAGCCCTAAGGTTCCATCTCTGTGGACACGTAAATATGCAATTTAGAAGAAGATGAAGAAGAAGCGTACATAGTAAATACTCTGATGAATGCATCTAAGATGTGCACAGTTGCGCTTGATCGACTGTAAAATTGCCTCGATCATTACTAATTCTACCTTCATATGATTCAGTCAATTATAACAATGAAGATAATGGTAATAAATCGAAGGTTTGACAAAAACAGGTAGGTATCTAGTTACATTTCATCATTATATATAATGGTCTAGACAGATAATTGATGGAGAAATGACTTACTTGCTGATTCACATGAGCACAGAAAGAAAGCGGTTATAAGTAGGCAAATAGATGTGGATGCTGACGCCATGGTTATTCTGCATCTCTTCAAAAGCAGTCGTATTTATATTGAAATTAACTAGATAGAAGCTATGCTGTATTCATATGCACTTGGTACATTAATAGAGAGATGGTAAAAAATATCTGATGTTATCGGATGTTTTCAGTGGCACCACCTACATTCTCTGAAATCCCTGTCAAGAAAATCTAATGGGTTGACACCTATTGAATACTGGAATTTATCAATGAGGTCACTGGTAAACATTAACCCACGCATGTTTCTGTTATCAATAGATAACAAATATTTCACTAATTACAATAAAGAATCCAATACAGCTTGAAAATCAAAGCGACTGCTTCATTAAAAAAAAAAATTAAAAGTCCTAGTGTGCCTTATTCAATGTAACTATGTAATCAGAGAAATTATTTCATTTCCATTCACCTTTATAACACATGATGTTGACAAAACAGCCAGCCAAATGCCACATCATCTCTCATCAGCTCTCTACATTATTTATGAAAACATTATTAAGGTCATCCTGTCAACAAAACTCACCAGTCTTATAAACATAGAAATAAAGTTATTTTAATTAAAGTACAGCATTGATAGTTATTGGAAGAGAATCACATTTCAGCTGATTTGTCTCATTGGTTGCTTCATAGATTATCTCAAGTAACTCCCAGAATGCCTGAGTTTGTACTAGTAAGTATTAACAGCCTTCTTACCTCACACATTTCAAAATGTCTCATATTTGTGTACAGAATATCAGCCTATATCTCACCTTGCCAAGAAGACTCATTCAACAGATACACAGAATGTTGGTGCAGCTTCCAAAGAAGATAAAAACTTGCCGTGTTATCCTGTCAGTTCACCAATAAATAGGTAATGAAATCCGAAACCATTTATCACTATAATTTTATCAGAAATGAGAAATTGAGAAGATCTCTGGCATTATCTCCAATGTCTCACCATAAAACCACTCGAGTCGCACAGTGAGTCGCTGGCAAATATCATATCTGAAATGATTATAACTCACTGTTTTTATTAAAGAAGATTGTGGATTAGAAGTGACTGTCAAACCTAGTGGTGATAGCTCAACTAACCTGATGGTCACCACCAATAATCACACATTAGAAGAAGAAGAAGATTTGTGGTCCCTGCTGTTTTTCGTGGTTATCAGCTGCGTAATATTGCCTGAATATTCTGTGTGAAAGCTGATCCACCGATATTTGTAGAATCTGCAGGAAGCTGGAATAATTCGTGTAAGCGAGAAATATTGTTTTGTTCTCGCCCCTTTGGCGTACTTCTCCAACCACCTCTGAGCTAAGGTTCCTTTGGTACAAAAAGTGTTGATGCTTGAAACCGGAATGTAGACTTCAAAACTATGCACACGGTTTTGTACATTGTGATGCTGAGCGTGATCCCCTGAAAGCTGCATACGACTAACCTTTCAAAGTCGTTATTCCTTAACCGAACAGAATGTCAGACTACAGTAACTGTCGATTGTCCCAAAAAAGCTGACATTGAGGAGAAATTATTTTCCTCTACAACATCAAAACTTAGAAACTCCTGGATGTCAAACCATGAGCTAGACTCAATTACTGATGGTAAGCCCATAGCATGCGAATTTCTTACAATCGCTTCTTGACGATGGCGTGCGTATAACTCTGTGATTCCATTTGTACCTATTTCCTCCTTGTACATTCCCCTCACAGAAATATTTTACTTGGGAAGTAGTAGATGGTGAAGCGCGTTATCTGATGGAAAATTTTCATTTCTCCATAGGTTTGCATAGCTGCACTAGCTTGGGGTGAGCACGTCACCTAAGTCATCTCCATCATGGAAAAGTATTACTTGTCTGCTCCACGGTTGTCCTCCAGAGTCAAGTGTCTCCCCAAATAATCCTAATATTTAATTCTATTTTAATATGTCCGTCACTTTGACACATGCTTAAATAAGCAACACTTTTTGAGTTGTATATTGTTATCAGTAGTTTGGATTCAGACAGTGTACCATATAAGTGTGTCATTAGATATATCGCACCACATAAGGCTCGTAAAGTGAGGCATATTAACAGCACAACCAGAATCTGACAGGTATATTGTTCTTATACTTCTGGATGCCAATCTCTGACTACCTTGATAATTGCACTTAGATTTCGATTACTCTGATTGCATAATCAATCATACTGAATATTTTCGAATCACATTAGAGGAATCTGTAGACCATCAGTCATCAGATATCCAGTTCTGACTGATTTTGAAATCTGAACTGTGCGAATAACAAGAAATCTCTTATAGAATGGTGTAGTAATGCGATTTAATAATGTTTCACATTACAGAGCATATACCATCCATTCACTACTTGGATACTTTGAAAACCTGCTATGGGATTCGCAAATATCAATTAAGCTTTCACTGGGGAAATTCTAATTCAATGTGAATTCAAACAAGAAAAATGCACCGATCTGGAAGTCATCGGAAATACGATTCTCTTCTGATAACTATGAATGTTGTACTTTAATTAAAATAACTTTATTTCTATGTGTATAAGACTGTTGAGTTTTGTTGACAGGATGACCTTAATAATGTTTTCATAAATAATGTAGAGAGCTGATGAGAGATGATGTGGCATTTGGCTGGCTGTTTTGTCAACATCATGTGTTATAAAGGTGAATGGAAATGAAATAATTTCTCTGATTACATAGTTACATTGAATAAGGCACACTAGGACTTTTAATTTTTTTTTTAATGAAGCCGTCGCTTTGAACTATCCGTCTTTTGGTGATCTTGCTGCATGCATGAGTAATATACGTGAAAGAGAAATTTCAGGTGTATATGAAGAATATTGAAATGATGTTCATTAATTGCCTTAGACAGAAATTAATAGAGTTTCTAAATGTGAGTCTCTGAGATGCTGATAAATGCTATGCCACTGCTCATGAAATTGTAGTGTACTTAGAATGTTTGAATTTTTGTCCTAACGCATTCACCCAATTTTAGGTGCCACGCAGTCTTGTGATTTTCGACATGACCGTACACACGTCGTTCGCTTCCTTGTTGTGCTACTTACTATTCAGCACACTCTTCGAGTTTGCTATTCTGGCAGGCAACAGATAAGTTGTACAACATTCTTATTTATTAAAACTGATAGTTAATCTGTGTAAAATACAATTCACACCAGGACACACTACACAGTCTCAAGCTTTCCTACTTTGATTTCGTTAGTCAGTGCTTACACGCTAGGTAGAGTACTGCTAAGGTTATTAGGCGGAGAAGTATTTAGTAAGTACAGTTATTTGAAGTCTATCTTAAGTATAACCAATACTCACAACTGGTGAGCCCGACTTTCACCGTTTGCCTTATTTGTAGCTGTGTTTCTACTTTGTCTTATCTAAATGATGTCTGAAAACGGCTTTCCTGTGCAGATGGCCATTGCCCTCCAACTTCACACTTTCTGGACACACCGTTCTTCTGCATGGTTCAGTCATGTGGAAGCTAAATTTACTTTAAGGCATATTCACTCTCAAGAAACCAAGGCCAACCTGGTTATTGTGAGCCGTTCTTAACGTTCTTGATGATCCCTGTCCAAACCTGTATGATCGTCTCAAAGTTGCGCTAATTAAGAGTGTTGCACTGACTAATCAACAGAAAGTGCAAGAACTCTTTCGTGATGTTCAAATCGGGGACCGTAAGCCCACACAAATGCTACGGCAAATCAAACAGCTAGTTTCTGATTTCATGATCGATGACGCCTTCTTGAAGCAGATTTGGTTGCAACGATTACCTCAGTCAGTTCAGGGTATTCTAGCTCCGTTTCATAACTCTCCCTTGCTAAAGTTAGCATAGGCCGCCGACTGAGCTGTGTAGGCCCCTAAGTCCAGCATTCCCAGCCTGAAGTGTGCTGGTACCATCGACACTATGGTGCAAAGGCCCAAAGGTGCACTCTCCCTAGCACCTTTGATGTCAAATAGTTGAGAAACTAGTAGGCCAGCACGTAATGGCTACTAACGTCGCTGGCGAACCAATTCCATATCGCCTCTTCCACGTTACTGACCATAACACTGGGACACGCTTCCTGGTTGACACTCGGGTGGAGGCTAGGCGAAAAGTGCCCGCTGCCGATATCCCTACATCTGCTTCGTCTATCACAACGTATGATAGAAGGTTCCTGGACCTTAACGTTGGCTTACGCCGCTCATTTCGATGGGTTTTCATCGTGGCAGATGTGACCACCAGTATCATTATTATGGATCTTTTGCAGCGTTTTCAGTTACTAGGAGATGCTGACGAACACAATTCAATTGATTCATCCGCACACCTATCAGTCTCCGGTGTTGTCACGCACAAACACCCTCTAAGCCCAGTGTGATCAACACCTGGCACTAATGGTCCATACTCTGACGTCCTTCAGTCTTTCCCCAATCTTTTGAAACCGGCTTCCGCACTCGCATGCTTGGCTTCCAATGTCGCTTACCACATCATGACGACCGTCCCACCCTCTTTTGCAAAACCATGGCGGTTGTCCCCAGAAAAACTCCGAGCATTAAGGTCAAGTTCGAACATATGTTACAGATGATGATAATCCGACCATCTAGCAGTCCGTGGTCTTCATCGCTACATGTGGTGCCCAAGAATAACGGAATAGACTGGAGACCTTGTGGTGATTACCGCAGGCTAAACGCTCATACTGTGGCAGGTCGATATTCTGTCCTACACATACACGATCTGACGTCTTCTCTCAAAGATGTTACACCAAACTTGACTTGACGAGATTTTATTTTGATAAATCACACAGTGTTGTACATTTATACTAACTGCTAAAATGTAAAACACTGTGATTTATCAAAATAAAATCTTATCCATAATGGAGTTATACTCTACCACAACGCCCAAGTTTTATACTTATTTCAATTTCGCTGAGAGTTTACAAATATAACTTTATAAATGTCTTATATAAATGACTTGACGAGAGCCCACCATCAAATTTCAGTTCACCCTGAGGATGTCCCTAAAACAGCAGTGATCACTTCTTTTGACACTTTTGAGTTCCTTCGAATGCCTTTCGGTCCCCGCAATGCCGCGCAGACTTTCTGATGTTTCACACACGACGTTTTTCGCGGATTGAATTACGCTTATGCCCATCTGGGTGATATCCTAGTGACTAGTCCAGATGAAGCGACTCACCGTATTCATCTGCAGACAGTTTTTGAGACACTAACAGCATACTGTTTGACACTCAACATGGATAAATGCTAGATCGGTGTCCTTTCGCTAACTTTTCTGGGACATGTAATTATTAAACATGGCATTCGCCCTTTAGCTGAAAAGGTGCAGGCCATACAAGACTTCCCAGATCCTATGTCCCTGAAATCTGCGCGTTTCTCGGTATAAGTTATTACCGTCAGTTTGTCCCCCAATGTGTGCATATTTTAACTACACTCACAGACCTACTTAAAGGTAAATGCAAGACATTTAGCATGACATCGGAGGCTCTGGAATCGTTCAAGAAAATGAAGATGGAGATTTCGGACACAAGCATGCTAGTCCATCTAGACGTTCAACTTCCGACCAGCATCTCTGTTGATGCATCTAACACTAGCCAGAGCCTATGTTAAACTCATTGCTCTTTGGTGCAATCAAAAACCGATAGATACCCTTCCCATGTTAACTCCAACTGTATATACGAATTTACATGTATCTGTGGGAGCAGTTACATTGGAAGGACAGAAAGAAGGGCATATCTACGATTTTCTGAACATGTACCAAAAAGCTTATGTCTAAAGGGAACAGATGCTTTAACCAGTGCCATCCATCGCCAGGAATCTTCTTGAGACGGGTCATGAAGTGGACGTCGAAAAGACGTCCAAAATTATCAATAGGCAAGAGAGCTCAATTCTACTCAAGTTTGCTGAAGCTATTTTCATCAAGCACCTGAAACCTGATTTCTGCGTCCAGAAAGAAGCGGTTATCAGTCTTTCTTTGCCCAGCCTGGTAACTGGATATTTTCATCTCTCTTTCATCTGAATGCGTAATCCTGAAAAGTTTCCATTGTGTATGATTATTATTGTTCGGAATAGTGTTTAATATTACATATATATTATTACTGAATGCATATACTGGTCGATTGATTTTTGTTTAAAATGAACCCTGTGCAAGTACGTTAAAACTGTTTTTGTAAATATATTTAATAGTGTCTTTGGCTTGTAAGCAGCTGACGAGAAGGCAACGAATTAAAGAATGATGGTACCACTTTATTCTGCTAAAACTGTAGTTCTTGCTTTGTTCAAAAACTTATCTAGAATGGCATAATATTTTACTACAGTGCCCAAATTCTTTCTCTATACTAATCAGGCTTCCATAATTTCTGTCAACTGGCATCAGCAGACAACAGTTACATCATGCTTGGTGAATCCGTCACTGATTGGCTAAAATATTTTATTTGAAACCAATGAGCTACAAGTAAACATTTACTGTAATAAGCAACTTACTTCTAATCGATTATTTCAAGTTAAGTAACCAACTGACATTAATTAGTTAACCAACCAATAAAAACCAAGTAGTACTGAACATTTGTTTCATCCCAGTCTACGATTTATTCAACAATATCCTCATCTCCTCGACACGGGTCATGAGGTGGACGTCGAAAAGACGTCCAAAATTATCAATAGGCAAGAGAGCTCAATTCTACTCAAGTTTGCTGAAGCTATTTTCATCAAGCACCTGAATCCTGATTTATGCGTCCAGAAAGAAGCAGTTATTAGTCTTTCTGCATTCAAAAGCGATACATGCATTCTCTCGCCCTACCATGGCCAGCGTAAAGTTCTTACTACAATTTTGCTTCTTTCCTTTATTATGCAACTTCACTATTATTACTATTATTGTTATTAATACTTTTATTATCCTTATCATCCCCATCAGTCACATTTTATTGCCACTCTATTACGGTTGATTAATAACATTGCTTTTTCATACAGACAGTTTTTATACAAAAACACTATCGCCTTTCCACTAATTCCTGTCAATTCTACACGAGCTTTTATTGATTAGTCATTATCTCACACTTATTACGTCATATATATATATATATATGTTTCCTTCACGTTCCCCAGTGGAACATAGGGCTTCAAGCTAGTGGATTGAAGTTTCTGTAGCAGTGTTTATTTTTATAGGTTGGGGTTGCTAGCTTCATGCCCAACCTTTCCTCTTTACCAACATTCTGTCTGGCTTAGTGAAGTAAAGGAGTGCGTCGGCCGGGGATCGAACCTTGGACCATATGCATGCTCAGCAAGCGTCCTAACCCCTGTGCCACCGACGCCCCTTATTACGTCATGCCAACTTCTATCTTTTTTCTAACTTACAATTAGTCATCCCTTCCAGATTACACCTTACATTATGTAATACAATTTTTCAAGGACAAAGTTTACCAATATCTGATTGGTCTAAAGATTTCTTTGTTAAATATAATTACGATTGTACAGCAGCTCATGAAGATGAATCGTCGAAAAGCGAAAATTTTCTTCACGGTTTGTGGTGCCTTTTCTTATGACTAAATATGGAAATAAAAATTAACCACAGGATCTTGTCCAAAATTTACAGTAAGAATAAAGTCAAAAGTGTGCAGAGTAGAAAATTAGAATAATAGGTCTAATAATAATAATAGTGGGTTTGTTTCAAACTATTCTCAATGTGGGATGATGTTTACACTTATGAGAAAATACACCCAAGAAAATGAAATGAGTACATACAGGATAATATTAATAATAATAACACTGAAGCTTGATGGAATAAGAATAAAGAAAATGGTTCATTTACTAGTGCAAAGAAGGTTAGTTAGTTAGTTAGTGCTTGACACACATTTTATGTGTCAAATATGGTACAGTGGAATTTGTTATACTTAGACCTGCACGCATAAAGTCTTTTGAGATGACCAGTTGTTTAATCTGAGGAGACGAAAGCTGAAAGCTGCGTGTATGCTCACAATCAGATAAAATCCCTTTAGCAAATTTGTTGCATGAAAATCAAGTGCCTACCAATGACCATGCCAGAGATATAATCCAATGAGATACCACTCGCCCTACTGACAGACAGTCTTCAGATTTCTACGAAGTATGACATAGTCTTATTTCAGAGATCCAGGAAGAAGAATAAAGGTGAACAGTAAAGAAGAATGGGTAAGATTCACGAGTTGATAAACTATAAGAGGAAGGGGTGATTGAGTTATACCTGAGTGCCTTAACTTCTTAATGTAAAAGGTCAGACGGAATATTTTTCTTAGAAATCGCTAAGATATGGGCAGTCTAGGATAGATAAGAAGAAAGAATTAGCCCAAGATATTTGAAGTCAAACTTGATCCATGTATCACTATCATCACTTTCACAACAGATGTAGGAATTAACACCTTCATCATTTCATCACTCCCATTTACACCGCAAATCGAAATTAACAGTAGAAACGTGTGGGATAAAGAGTAGGCAATGGAAACAGGTGCAGATTCAATAAATATGCAAGATCATAAAGACTGAATGAATAATCTGCACCACTGACAACGATTTTAAGCCATATCACCAATAGTCTGCAACCATTGGTTCTTAGCATCCAGACGACCGTCAACCAGGTAGTCTACACATCCCTAGACGGCTGCTTCAAATCAATTGTCAAAGACTTCATGAATTGATTCCCCGCTTCTGCTTTGACCATCTCTAACCCTTTTATAAAAAACAGTCTTGTGTCAGCTAACATTGCTGCTAGTCAAGGAGGGCATTGGCTCGGCACATGCACACAATGTATGTCCTAGGCATCTCAATCAATTTTTTTTCCTTCACGTTCCCCAGTGGAACATAGGGCTTCAAGCTAGTGGACTGAAGTTTCTGTAGCAGTGGTGATTATTTTTACAGGATGAAGTTGCTAGCTTCATGTCCAACCTTTCCTCTTAATCAACATTATTTCTGGCTCAGCGAGGTAAAGGAGTGTGTCGGCCGGAGATCGAATCCCGGACCATGTGCATGGTCGGCGAGCGTCCTAACCGACGCACAAAAGCCTGGGAGTACAGCGCAGAAGCCTCAACGTCCTGCCCGAAGATCCATATGTCTCCATCAAAAACTGCAGGGCATAGGCTATCCATTTGTCGGTAGGCAGCGACACCAAATGTAACAACAGAAGACAAGGGCCAGGCAGCAGATCGTTTATTAAGGAAATCAATACATATTTATAGCTTTTCATGTTCACTATTGTAGATTATTTTTAGCAGAAAAACACAGTCTTTTGATTGGTTGTTTCTCACAGAAAGTTAACCTTGCATATCTTTGTGACTGTTTCTTGAATATCAGATCATCTATATACTAACTGTATCCGCCTACACAAAGCCTTTCTTTTCATTTTTCTCACGACTAATATTGGGGACATAAACATTGACATAAATTACTGTCCACCAATTTTGGCCAACAGCCAGCTCTTACCACAAAATCATTTCGAAAAACGAAAAAAGGAAATAATTATTATTTTTATTAGTTGTACAGTTTCATTTACAGTTTTATTTACACGCACACGAAGGGAGAGGAGGACAATAACAATGGAAAAAAGGAGTTACATAATTTACAATAAATACAAAATTTGTAAGTAAAATATAAACAAGAAGATTATGCATTATTAAATCAGCAGATCTGAATGAAGTTTGCTGTTGTTGTTGTTCTTTTTAATTTCTTTTAATCTTTTTCATTGGATACTACTAGTTGATTGTGTTGTTTCATTTAATGCTTCAGTCATTGAATTTTCAACTTGTTGAATTTTTAAGCACAACTTATCTAAACGAACTGATAAAGATGATTCTTCTTGTTCAACATTTGATGCCGAAATGGACGCTGAGGCTGACATTGATGTTAACGATGATGATGATGATGGCTTGGTTATAAGTAGACACTTTTTAATATCATTATAACGTGAATTATGAATGGATAGATTGATAGCGTTCACTTGTTTCATACACGGTTCATCTATATTTTTCAAAATAAAACAGAATATAAGTCAATTAATACAATATGAAAATTTCAAAAAGGTTAGAGAACCATTGAATACCAGGAAGTAGTGTACAATTACCTTCATTCTGGTGTGAGACTGTTCACCAGTAACGCATGTCTGTCTGTCTATCTGTTTTCTACATAGAACTTGGCACCAATGTGCACCAGTTCAAATCGCCACACTCCATGTCACACTCAGAGCAGGAGAAGAAAGTAGAAGAAACGCAAAATAGGGACAGTAAACAGAGATATGAGACAAAAAGAACAGTAATAACGAAGAACAATATAGTGTCATTGGAAATTATAAGTCACAAGGAGTGGATGCATCTGCACCAGCCATTGTGAACGATCACTTTGTGCCATATCACCAATTGTTTCCAACCACTGATTTTTACCGTCCCGAGGACCCCAACCAGGAAGTCTGCATCTGCCTACGTGGCTTAAACTAACTGTTGTACATTTCATTGACTGGTGAGGCCATGTTTTGGTTTGACCGCCGTTAGCACTTTTCCAGCCTGACCTTATGTCACTTAACATTGCCCGTCGGTCGAGGAAGGCGATGACTAGGCATCCACGCGTAACACATGTCTTAACCATATTAGTCGATGTAATTTCACAGCCTCGTCGATTGATTTCCTCTCCTTAACAGCCTAGCACTCGACTCACGCCTAAAATCAATATTGCTCACCCTATCATACCACTTAACATGGGAAATAGAGCGCAGGCACCTATGATCAAAGACAGCTAATCTTTTCATGTCTTCCACTCTCAATGACCAGGTCTCACTCAGAGCCAAAAAGGAGGACAGAGAGGACTGATGAACAGTACACCCACCCATAGGTCGATAGCCAGCCAAATATCATGTCTACTAAGTCAGAGACAGCGTAAACTGGCACATGCGAAACTAGCCCTCTGTATCCGTGCTGAGATTTCGTCAGAGATCAACCCGTTGGCGTTGGCTGATGGTACTTCCCAATTATGTGAAGCGGTCAACGTGCTCTACCACTTCACTCCCTATTTGTACGCTAGCACTGAGTCAATGTAGTCCAGTCCTGTAACATCATCTTGCATTTGGCGGGAGTATGTTTTACAATCAGAAAGCAATGAATGAATAATAACAAAATTGAAGAATACATCAAAACATTGGATCAGGGAAAAAAATGAACACTTTCACTTACCAATATTTTTAAAATATTCAGTCATATCATTCAAAATACTTTCTGGTTCAATTTGTTCAATCAATTTAACAATAACGTTCGAAAATTCAATCACCTTAGCAAGCTCAATATTACTTTTCGCCTTATAATTGTTCACTAATACATTGGACAAATTGTTTAAACCATTTCGAATGAGAGCGAAAAACAAATTCAAATTAGGCGCTAAATAAACAGAGGGTAACACTTTTCGAATTGAATTGGATATTATTGATGATGATGTTGACGATGATTTATACACTGGACTAGGAGAGAATACTTTATTCAAATGTAATTTAAAATTCTGTTCAACTTTACGAATAGATGTATTAATCCAACATTCAGTTGATAAGCTGAAATTTAATTCTTTTGAAAGAGTTGTCCAATTTTGAACTAATATGCTCCATGATGACGACGATGACGACGACGAGGAGGAGGGGGAGGAGGGTGACTTTAAAGCAAGATTACTGGGAGTTTTCGATTCTGTCTTTGTTTCTTCTAAATAATCAATACATACCAAATTGATAACCTTCTTCGATAGGATAAGAGTATTATGCAGGCGATTAGTTAATTCCTTGTTAACTGGAAGTAATTGAACGAATAGACGTGATAACATTGTATGATATGCATCAAGTAAAGACTTCATTGACTAGAAGTTTAAAACAAAAAGAAAGAAAGAAAGTAAGTAAGAACATGAATGTAACTGTTTTAAATAGTGTTTCACTAAGGTCAAGTTTATTTAAACACGTGACTAAAAAAAAAACTAAGGAGAACACAAAACGGGTTATATACATTAAAGACTCGTTAGCAGCACTATACACATGTATGTGACATATATTAGAAATCAGTTATTTTTTTTCCTTCACGCTCCCCAGTGGAACATAGGGCTTACAGCTAGCGGCCTGAAGTTTCTGTAGCAGTGTTTATTTTTACAGGATGGGGTTGCTAGCCTCATGCCCAACCTTTCCTCTTAACCAACATTATTTCTAGCTCAGCGAGGTAAAGGAGTGCATCGGCCGGGGATCGAACCCCGGACCATGTGCATGGTCGGAGAGCGTCCTAACCAGTTTTGATTATGATTAAAAGACAAACTTGATGATACATTATGGGAATCAACAGATGCATTGCACAAGTTCTCATAGTTTGCGCAAGGACTGGGATACTTTGAATATAGAATGAAAGAATGAACGAACATATTTGTAGGATGGATAAAATGAGCTCGTTTTATTTCAACTGCGTACATCCTAAATAAGTCAATTATAAGTTTAAAAAAATGATGTCTGAACATACTTCGTTTTACAGTAACTTCAAGTTATAGATGGAAAGTATAAGCAACATAATTTTCAAAGATGATGTGAGTAGACAATTATTATTATTTCCTTTAATTCCTAAAGGAACATAGGGTTTCAGACGCCCAAGTCTCCATTGCGTTCGGTTCTCTGCCAAAATTTTCACCTGGCTCCAAGTCTGCCCACATGCTTTCATCTTCTCTTCACATGGCGTGCTCCAAGTCACCCGTGCACTGACGACCAACTCGCCGCTTCCTTTTCGGGTTCCACTCGAGCTATGGCTTGTCTAGTGATGTCACTTGATGGTTTCCTCAGTGTAAGGCCGATCCATCTCCATTTCTTCCTGCCTGTTTGTTGCACAATCGGTTTCTGGTTGGTTTGCTCATAGCCAGAGATCCCTGTTGCTGATCTTCTCTGACCGGCCATCTGATCTTGAGTATTGAGCGAAGACAGCTGTTGATGAAGGTCTGTAGTTTGTTTGAGGTGCTCTTTATGACGCACCAAGTCTCTGATCCATATAGTAGCACTGACTTCACATTAGAGTTGAAAATCCGGATCTTATTTTTCATACTGAGTAGTGTTGTTGACCTCAACACAGACTTGAGAGCAATCAAAGCTTGCCTTTCTTTTCCGATCCTAGCTTTGATATCCTCCTTAGTTCCGTCTGCCTGTAGTTGAAACGATGCCTCCCAGGTCGGTGGGTAGGCGAAGGAGGTTGTTTCTTTCACGTTCCTCCCATTTATGCTGATTGTCGTCTGTTGTTGTTGCTGTACAGGAATCTTCATCACCTACCTCTGTTTTCTCTATGTTCACCTGAAGTCCTATCTTTGATGCTTCTTCTTCTGTGGCCAACTTGTTGCTTTTCACTTGCATATCTTCCAGTTTGTGGGAAATCAGACATACGTCATCATCGGCGAAGTCCACATCCTCCAAGTTTTTTGTGTGAGTCCATTTTAAACCTGTTTCTTTGTTGCACGGCCCGCTGTCTGTCGCATTATCCAATCTACCGAACACGATCAAGAAAATCATTGGCGATAGTAGGCAGCCTTGCCTCACTCCCGTCTTCACGTCAAAGGATTCCGTAAGTTTCCCGCTGTGGATTACTCGACATGAAGCATTGTCGTACAACTGTTGGATGATATATATATATATATATATATATATACAATTATTTAGTATTAAAAGGGTAAATAATTATATAGTATTTAGACAAAGGGGTGTACAGCTCAGGTTTCTTTTAGAAACAAGGGTGCACTGGAGACAAAATACAAGATAGAACAACCGAGTTAATTTATACACATTATCGGGGGAGAGTTCAGGAAGGTGGTAGTGGGATGAGAATAACGAAGTAAAGTTATAAAATAGATAAAATAATTTAATTTAGTAGATTTCGAAAGCTTAATAGTGAGTTCAACTCAGCGAGTGAAAATCAAAGTCAAGATTGAGTGGAATGTTATGTATGCAACAGAACAAAACACAAAACCACATGAACAGAATAATTACGATTATCAGAAGGGATAGTGAAAGATTAGTGACACTGGCTTTCTGGATGCATAGGTTGGGTCGAAGTATTTTTATAGTGGCAATGGTTTCTGAGAACCGAAGTAACCATGCTTCTCTTGTGCATTGATTATTTTGAAAGCCTGACTAATTTCCACTGTATATCCCGTGTAAATTAGGTGTCTGGCGATCTTTGTTTATTCAAACTAATAAAGGGAATCGACTGTATGAAAGTGCTGAGACAACTGGAATACTGGTCGGATGTCTAGACCAAGGCAGACGATTGTCATAAGAGGCCACACCCCAAGCCTCTGACTCAAATTTAGATCCACAGGGGAGTGGAGCAACATCAAGAGCTGCTTCCCCATGGTTTCCGGTGACCAAAACAGGTTCATACGCCATCCGATATGTTGGAGTTTGGGAGCTTATGTATACCACAGATTTGGAATCAGTGTTTTCCAGTTCTACTAGGTGGACCAGAATGTTCACCAGTTCAGTGGCAAGCGCCAGACGTTTGCAGTCGCTCTTTCACTTTTGTCGGAAACACCGCCACCGTGTGGAGTCAGTATACAGGACTGGCCTGGTAGAGGTTGTGAATGCCTGGTCACATGAGACCGTTTAGAGACAAAAACCCGAGTCTAACCACCTCTGGTTGTAATAGGTCGTTTATGGAAACTATTAGTTAGTCATTTAGTACTGAATTACCCGTTACTGGACAATCAGCCATAACTACGCAATTCTTCAGACTGAAGTACGTGCAATCCGATTCGAACCAACAGCTCATTGGTTGGAAATCAAGTGTTTAAGTCAATGAGATATATCTCCACAAGTGATTTGTATGAGAGCTAATAATAGTACCCTAGTTGTCCTAGGACTCCCACACCCTGCACCCAGTGCCCAAATGTCGCTTGCATAAGCTAATGAGCCCCATTTCCATGATTTGAAATGCTACGATTGATGTCTTCTATAGCCTTTAATAATTCATGAAAAAACGATAACCTTCCATCCGATGTGGTGCTACCGTCTACACGGATTTACAATGGATGAATTTCCAGGCGATCTGATTTACAAACCCCAACTAGAAATTAAGACAGACGTGAAGAACCTAGAAGACCTAGATTTCGCGTGTGGATAATTTATGCTTGATGTCACACAAAATCGAAGACTTACAAGCGAAAACCAACAAACTGGTCGAAGAATCAGCCGGCGAAGACAGGACTCCAAGTGAACATAGACAAGACGGAGGTTATGAAAATAACCAGCCAACAACAACAACAACATCCAGCGCCAATCACCAACAACAGAAGGGATTTGAAAGAGGTTACTTCATTCACTTATCATCTAGGGAGCATTGTCTCAACTACAGGCAGTCGGAACGGACCAGGATGTCAAATCGAGCGAGAATCGGGAAGGCGAGAAACACATTCATCAACCTGAAACCTATCTAAAAATCTTCGTCACTCAACTCAGAATCAACAACAAAATTCGGTCGGATTTTCAATACAAACAACGTCAAGTCAGTCAGCTCTTCTATACGGATCAGAAACTTGGCGGGCGGGTCACAAAGAATATTTCCAATAGCCTGTTGCAGACCTTTATCAACCAACAACTGTCTTCGTTCTATACTGAAGATCAATCAGATGGTCGGGCCGGAAAGAATCACCAACAAGAAACTATGGGAACAGACAAAACAAAAACCAATCGCCAACCAACAAATATGCAGGAGAAAGGGGAGATGGATTGGAAACTCGTGGCTGAGGAGGCCGTTGAGTGACATCGAGCACGCGTCAGGCCATTGCTCGAGTGGAACCCGAAAGGGAAGCGGCGAGTGGGACGTCAAGGCAAGGGTGACACAGAGGAGATTGTGTAAAGAGGAGTTGAAACAGTATGGACTAACATGGATGCAGGTGAAAAGTACAACAGAAGACAGAAGCAAGTGGAGACGTGCAGTTGAAACCCTATGTTTCACTAGGAACCCAAGGGAACAATAATACAACTACAAATTAATATCATTACCTTTTAATGTCATTAACTATTCGGAGAAGTTAGTGGCTAGACACCCAAACGGACGAACACACCACAGACGATGAACCGACTAATCACAATGAGGCAGTGAACCAGAGTAAATAACACCGTATGCATAAAAAGCAATGGTCGAATAAGTTGTTTACAGTCAGAAGTTTGAATTAGGTTTAGATTAGGGGTATGCGCTATGCCCAGGTTTTGGGAGGTGAAGTTTCTCTAGAGACTGAGTTGATTTTGCAAGGTAGGATCGCCGCTAGCTCCACATCCAAACGCCTTCCTTTTCGGACTTAAACCGGTCAGTAAACTAGTGAACTAATAAACTAGACATCAGATCCTCGAGTGGAACCACAACAGGAAACAATGAGTTTGGTGTGGAACTAAATGTGACTTGGAGGAGATTATGTGAGGAAAAGATGAGACTATATGAGCAATCGTGGAGTCAGCTAAAGATGACTGAAGAAAACAGGAAGAAGTGGAGATGCACATGTTGAAGCTTAATGTCCCACTTGGAGCCTAGGAGAACAATGATAATAAATAGGCAAACGTTTTAGTTAAATAGAGATTATGGTTATTCATTATAATAAAGATTTTTCTGTATTTCCCAAAGAATGAAAAACAAAACGATATTGTTTTTACTGACGTTTCGCTATTTAATGCTAATAGCTTTATCAAAGTATTATTAAACCGGAATTTACAAAATCTCAGCATATATATATATATATATATATATATATAACATAGAGTTAGGGGTGAGAAAATAGAATTAGGTCAAGTTAAAAGGAAGACATATTGAAAGTCAAAATAACAATGGAGATCGTTAAACCAAATATCAAAGGTAATAGTACATCTGTTATGATATCAAAATAAAGTTTACTAACTTGATCATTGTTCGTCAGTCTGGGGTCGTTTTTCGTTGTCAAGTTAGTCAATTGGTAAAGATAACAAAACCAAGTGTAGATTGTTGGATTTGATCAGTGTGTAAAATTATAAAAGTAGTGTGTGTTTACCTAGTGAACTTGCTTATCACATTTGTGTTGATTTTTGTCACTCCATGGGGGAGGGAGGTGTTGTAACCAGGTCAGATTCTGTTTTAGTCTATCATTCCTATTCAGGCAATTTGGATTCCATTTGATATGAAGTGCTTCTGATGATATTAGACGTTCTTTGCGATTTCTGAAGTTTTTCTGCGTGATGATTTCAATATTGTTAAAATCAATTTTGTGGCCTGATTCTATAGCATGTAGAAAGTTATGGCTGATGATTTTTCTTCAAGCTTTTCTGGTTCAAATAGATTTCTCGGTGGTTGAAGAGATGCTCACTCTACGGTGTTCATTTCTTCTGATTTTGATTTCTCGAGATGTTTGTCTGATGTAGATAGCATCACATTCCAAGTATTTTATTTTATAGACACAAGTAGGTAGAGAATCTTTCGGGATTTGGCCTTTTATATGAACAAGGTTGCTTTGAAGTGTGTCTGATGTTTTGAAGAAAGCTCTAATGTCGAGCTGATTGAGTACACTTCTGATATCGCCTGACGTCACTGCTCTACGTGGAATGACGACTATTGATGTCCATGTTTTCGGAATGCGTTTTCGGCCATACTTAATGCATGTGTTGATTTTGTTGATGAAGTTCCTTGGGTAGTTGTTTTGCTTGAGAGTTTTAGTAATGTCTGATATTTCTTCTTCTTTTTCTTGGTCATCCGTTATCAGAGAGTGTGCTCGTCTAAGAAGACTTGAAACAACTGAAATCTTTGCACTGATGGGGTGTGATGATTTGAAGTCGAAATATTAATTGGAGTGGGTTGTCTTCCTGAATATGGATATATTAAAATGTCCGTTTTCCTTTCTCTTAACTAGGCGGTCTAGAAATGGTTTTGTTTTTCATTCATTGGGAAATATAAAAACCTTTATTATAATGAATATCATATACCCAATGCCCAAATTTTCCTCAAACCGTTAAAAGTTAACTTGGTTTGGACATATATAGAGATTATGGTTAGTTTACTTCTTTCATTCAAACTTATTGTTTTAAAGTCATTGAGTAAGGTTCATTAAAGTAGTTATTAGCCAGCCAGTCTACGAAAAAAAAACTTTTATTGAAACGAAGTCATGTTGTGTAAAACAGAAGATACGATTGCGTCTAATATTCGTACTTTTAAAAAATGTCCCAATTATTTGTCAGAGAAACCGGAATTCTTAAGCCCAGAAGTCCACTTGACTTCCAACCACTAAGTCATACAGTTCAAACTCAGATTGACCTGCCTTAGTTTGGACAGTCAGGTCGTAAAAATAACCCTCACACAATAGTTATGGCTCATTTCCATTTGCATGGAAATTCAAGTGGTCGTTGAATTCAGAGTAACAAAACCGCTAGAGGAAGGGGAAGCCAATTTTTCAATTTACCAAGTCACAACTAATTTGAATCAGTGATCAGATTGTCTAAGACAAATCAAACTAGGAACAAACAGTGTGCCAAGGGTTGGAATTCTATTTCCCACACACACACACACACACACACACACCAAAATTAATGAGGCAAAAAAGCTTCAAACAGAGAGAGGATACTTTGCCTCCAGGAATGAGAAGCCTTTCTACCTGCTTACGACACGTCAGCTAAATGCTCATGCATACATACCCCAGGGTGATTGTGTACCCTGTTTGGATTTGAACTCACAGTCAACTGTTTCAAACGCTAAAGCGTAATCCATAGAGATGAAAAACTTTCAAGAATGCATGTAACAAGGACAATGACGTAAAAATACGTCAACAATTGATATACTAAAGGTGACAGTTATGAAATTTTAATAGATTTAAAACTAAACTTATCAATGATTCACTGTCTAGCCAACAGACCTTCGTGTGATTGTTGAGAATTGAAATATATTTTTGCATTCCACACTGCTTTAAACTCAGCGTCCATAATTTCTTCCGTCAGCGCTGTAACTCTCAGTCTAGTAAACATATGCGTCATTGAAACCCATAGAGTACCGGATAGCTGTTTCATAATACTTTGTGACTTTCCAGCAGTATTCATCCGAAACCCCGAAAAGGATCCAATCCGGGAACCTTGAGATCACCAAGCAAACCGACTGAACAATCAGTTACTAGGTTGGAATTCAATCACCTGTGAGTTCAAACCTTTATCGATGCATGATATAGCTCTGTCAACAAATAATTCCATCAATGAGTAACCATTTCAACCGGACATGAAAGGTTCCACCGCCCACGACTTCTCACCAGAACTTCAGGACATTCGCCTATCATCTTATAGCCACACTAATTGGCTGGAGATTAATATTCAGATTTTAGGTTCAGTAAGAATTTCCAATTATTCCAATTTAGGCTTCGACACGAAACAACTTCAGTAACAGAAAGATTTGAAAACAAAAGACCATTGCAGGGCTGTTTCGTCCCGGTTTGGAACTCCTCAGAAATATACGTAAATTTCACTTAACTTACTGGGTCTACGAAGTCTTGTGATTTCCAAAATGCTGAAAGATCTGCCAAAGGACGTAGAAAGCATGCATCAATATACTGGTCAACTAAATCACTCAATTCTGTATAAACAGTGACTTCAGCAGGCACCGTAGATGCTGACGTTGACGCGGATAATGATGATAACGAAGTAGTCGAATATATGTGATGGTTACGATTGTTATTACTAGCATTGTTAATTTGACATTTTCGTCGGTGATTCCAGCTTCTAACATCAACTGGAGAACGGTTAAGCATTCTCCTAAAACACTCTTCTAACCAATTAAGAGAATACTGTAAATTAATTGACCAATAAGGATTCGGCAAGAATTTACCACCACTTCCAAGAGAAATATGATTGGTTAGCTGCAAGACACAAATACCATCATTATCATTCAATGGATTTTTTAAATTTTCAGTTGATAAGCTTAAAGGCGTTTGTGTAGCGATTGTGATAGCCAAAACTAAAAGATGATCATCAACTGGTTTGCGTTGCGAAGAAGAATTACTGAGTGAGACATCTGATGAATCCAACGGTTGCATCGATAATACTAATTGCTCTCTGGTAATTGGATGATTAAACTGACCAATCACAATTAAAGCAGATAATTTGCCTGACAATGATGAATCTGGCCATTTATCCAATAGGATTAAAGGAAAATCTTTAAATTTTCTATATATCCAATGGACTGTGTTTTTCAGCTGTTTTTGTACAGTTTCAGAACAACCATATGGAGGAAGTAGAATTGAGGTATATATTCCAAGTGGATATTTACAGAATATTGAAGATGGTTTCAAAACACTCCATGTCAGTCCGTCATCCACCTATACAAAAATAAGGAGATTCTTTAGAAAAACAAATAAACAGTGGGGGAGTTATGATCACAGTGAGGTTCAACAAGTTGAGTATGAGGATAGACACTCACCGATGACATTGGCTGACGGTCGCTCTACATATCGCTAGAATTGGTTGTGTTTTCTGAGCTGATTTCGATTTATAACTAAAAGCTAGAATTCATGGGCCATTGAATTCTATCCATGTGACTCAATGGTCAATAATCTCACCTATTGACCTGAAGGTCTTTGGCTGAACTCCTGATGGGGTGGTAGCTACATACAGCTGAGTAGTCCCAAACCGTCCCATACTCCTTGGTTATCTAACTGAAGTCAGTTAGTGAGTGATCAAACTTCAAATGCTTTTCTGCAAAAATTACAGAAAAATCAGAACCTACTCTGTTCCCTTTAATTGAATTTTTGATTTTTCCGTCGACTGATTGGACCGCAGTCTCAGGTTGACATGTCAGCTTCTTGTGCAGATGCTTCGACGATGTCTGGGCATTCAATTAGTATTTATCTGGTGGATGATGACTAACCGCGGAATCCAGGATAAAGAGCATTTCGTCCCATTTAGTCTGGTGGATAACGTTTTGGCGTTTGAAACTATGGGCACTGGGTTCGAGCCTCATCACTCACTGAGAAATGCAGGTACATCCAGATGACGAGTCCCAAGTAGGACGAAGTGTGCATCCTGGATACCACTGCTAGTCACCATTCACCAATTAAATACCACTCTGTTTCCGTCCAGAAAACTCCTTTTCTCCCATTAAAACACAGTGTCTTTATATTACGCGCTCATTCTCTGTGCTGAGCAAATCTACTCACGTTGTATGATAACTTCCGCAAAAGTGAGTGGATAACATATGATATATAGTCTAACAATTCATAGTGATTTATGACTCTGTAGATTACACTTAAGCCCAAAGGATGAATTAGTAACCCATTTCAATTTACTCGATTCAACTATATTGAAAGCATTGTGAAAATCAGATTTGTACTACTTCACTGCATCTTCCCTATTAGACTAGAAGGGTTAATTATAATTAGAGGCACAGAATGGAAAAGGCGGAGGGGTGGTCAGTCCATGACGTGGCGTCGTGGGATGAAGGATGTTTGTGCTAGATTAGCATCGGTTGGTGCGTCACGACTTCCTGGTTGGGGTCCGAGAGATAGCTCGAATCGATGACTCAAAACGTTATCAGATATGACCAAGAATCGTAATCAATGGCGAACGTCTTGCAATTTCCTTCTTTCTTCCCTTCCCGATGATAGTCAACGAATACTGTTTGAACTTGCTAAGCATGACTGTTTTCCTTACAGATGAAGTTCTTTATCCGTTTTCTACTCATATTTTTACTTTTAATCTATGCTGTTTTATTATTATTGTGTGGCGCATCATTCTTGGTGCCATATTGTACCAACTTTTTTCTGCGTTTAAATAAATAAATAGGAGGTAACTGGACGTAGATATAATGAATTACTATGAAATCAATCGAAGTGTTATTCAACAACTATTTGTCATTCTATGCAGTTGACAAAGGGATTCTCTACCAATCGTGGGAGGGGGCTAGTTGTACTGCTTAGAGCTGCCCCCTGAAGCTCGGTGAGTGGAGTGGGATTTGAACCCACGACCAACTGATTGGAGGTCAAGCCATCTAGACTATCGAGCTCCACAGCTCCCAAATTCAATCGAACATTACTCAACAACTAAAACAGACTTCTTAACCCTTCGATAAGTGTTAAAGAATCAATTCCTATATTCCATTTAAGTTAAATCTAGGTGATGAGCAAAAGTATAAACAAAGTTGTCTGTGTAACTCCTCATTGTTTCTCAATGGTAATGAAACTACCACCGAAGGAAAAGTAATGGTTTAAAGGGATTTGATTGTCTGCGAGTTTAACGACGAATAAGCATCGGGGTTAAAGAACCAGTGGACAATGGAGGAGTCCAATTTTGGGAATCTTCATTTTAATCTACCCATGACTATACGACTAGAGATAGAAAACATACTAATTACTCAATGTAAGGTAAAATCCCATATTAACTCTCAACCAGAGTATCGATTTCACTAGAACTGGAACTAAGAAATCAAATCCCACGGTGTAACTATAATTGAGAAGCAGTAACCCCCCCCCCCACACACACACACACACTTAAAATTGTACCGAAATTTATCCATAAATTAAATAACAGCTAAGAAGAAATAACTACCCGTGACAAAAAATAATCATAATAATAAACAAACAAACAACTGAATTCACACCTTTGAAATTTCCGGTGAAAATCTTGAATTCATTAAATAATGATTATCTAGTAATGCATTTCTAACTGGAAGTATTCCTGTCTTCTGACTGTCTATTGCGTCAGACAAATTATTATTGGCTTGAGATTGGTTCGCACTAACATTGACCTTAGTAGTATTACAATAATAATCATGATAATTATTTATAAGCATTAAACGTAACGGTAGACAATCCACTCCAACTGATGTTGACATTCTATTTAAGAGAATTTCATCTTGTTCTGCTTCTTCACGTTTCCATATTAAATAACGAAAATGATTGACACAATATTTAATCAAGTTAGCGTTGTATAATGATGTAGCTAGTGATTTGGTTAACGAGGAGGACGTTAATTTGTACAAGCGTTCTTTGATTAATTGATCAAAAATTTCATTCTGTAGGAAGAAAGTTGTAATAATGATAAAAGTAATAACAATGTTACAATAAGCATACGAAGCAACAATGAAAATTATCAGTTCATAACATGATCTAACAATTGAAATTGATCTGAACCATCGCAAATACCATAATCTAAATACAAATCGGATTTGAGATCGGACAAATACACGCCACCGATGACTTCACTGGTTGTCGCACCATATCATGAATTAGCAGAAGTTGGAAACCACGGATCAGTGGATTAGGTAGGTCCCCCAGTGGCTTAATGGTCTACCAGCTGCCCTTTTAACCAAAACTTCCTGGGTTCAACCCCCACGATGTGAGTGCGTACTGATGAAAAGTCCAAAACTAGGCTGACAAAACAGTTGTCCAGTACTCCTAGGTTTTCCAATGATCCTCTAACCAATGTCAGCTCGTGATGAAATCCTGGAACCAATCAAATTTGTGCAAGTCAACACTTATATACAGATCTCCAGCTACTGAATGGATGTCATGAAGCCGTATTGAGAAGTTGTGACCAGTTGGGTCAACCATATCAATGTGGTGGGGATGCCCATAGAGGGGTTTTTTTAAGGGTAACACTAACACGAATTAACAAGGTTAGAAATCACAGATCCTAGTGGTTTAATGCTCAACGAACTTGGTCTCATAATCCATAGGTCCGAAATTCGGTTCCCAACGGTGTGGAATGTGGTGGATGCAGATTGCTGAAGAGTTCCAGAAAAGTAGAACAAAACAACTGTCCAGTGCTTTCAGGTTTTCAGTGAACCTCCTAACTGATGTTAGTCTGTGATGAGATATAATGATAGAAATATTATTATTATGACTATTCCCTTGAGTTTCCAATGGAACATAGGACTTCAGAAGCATACATACTGTCATTTCACTCAGTTTTCTGAAGCCCTTTTTAGCTAAGCTATCTCCTTTTCATATGATTTCCTCCATATGTATCCATGATCCAGCATCAAACTCGTCGGTTCATATTCCAGTTCCACTCAACATCCTGGTGTGGCTTGTCGCTTGAATGCCTAATCGTTGTATGTATGATTCAATTCCACTTTCATTTGTATATATGTTGGGTTATAGATTCATCGATGACAACACTGACTAGTACAGTCTCTTGTCACTTATTCTTTCCAGCAATTTGACCTTCAATACCAAAGGGAAGACAGTGTGTGTTGAGGTAAGTCTGCAGAATGTTTTTGGAAATGCTTTTGGCGATTCATGCGCACCACGTCTCTGAAACATACAGACGCAATGAATTGATGTTGGTATTAAAAATTCAGATCTTTGTTATTCTACAAAGTGGTATCAATCTCTACATTGATTTTACCCCAATGAATGCCTGTCTCGCTTTTCTGAACCTAACTAGCTTTGACATTTGTACACGTGCTGGCTGTACACAAATCAATGTTTTTCCAATAAGTGAAAAAGAAGACTCTAATTTGGATTCCTTCTCCCAGTGATAGTGATTGATGTTGTATCACCACCTCTGTCTTGGCCACTTTTTTTCCACCAATTTGTTAGTTTTCTCTTGTATATCCTCAAATTTAAGCGAAACGATGTATAAATCATTCACAAAAACTAAATGTTTCAGTGTCTGTTTGTAATTGCAAAGTATATCCATGTTACCAAGCGTGGCTAAGTGATTTTTTTTATTACAGCTCGATTCCACACCGTATTTTTGATAGAAGTATGGAATTTTCAGCATTTGATATCGGTAGCCCAAATTTTGCAGGCCGACCATAGATATCAGGTGTGCGTCGGCAGGGGATCGAACCTCGGACCATGTGCATGGTCGGCGAGAGTCCTAACCACTGGACCACCGATACATCATCATGCACTGAAACAAGCGAAAATCCGCACTATATGACTATCTGATGTAATTCGCAGTGTGGAAGGCATGAAAAGGCTAGCTGTATTTGATCACACAGATACCTGCGTTCTATCTCCTGTGTGAAGTGGAATAATAAGGTGAGCAATATTGAGGTTAGGCGTGAGTCGAGTGCTAGGTAAGGCGGGAAGGGAAATCAATCGACGAGGCTGTGGAGCTACATTGACTGAGATGGGTAGAACATGTGTTATGTGTGCCTAGTCATCACCTTCTTCGACTGGCAATGTTAGTTCACATAGCGTCAGGGTTGGAAAAGAGCTAGTAGTGGTCAAACCAAAACATGGTTTCATCAGTCAATGAAATCAACAACAGTTAGTTTAAACCACGTAGGATGGTGTAGACTTCCTGACCAGTTGGTATCCTCGGAACAGTAAACACCAATGGTTGGAAACAACTGGTGATATGGCTCAAAGTGATCGTTCTCAATGGCTGGCGAAGATGCATCCACTCCTTGTGACTTATAATACCCAATGAAACTATATTGTTCATCGTTATTACTATTCCTTTTGTCTCATATCTCTGTTTACTGTCTCTATTTTGCATTTCCTGTTTACTTTCTTCTCTTGTTTTGTGTGCTACAAGGAGGTAGTGTGGCGACTTGAACTGATGCAAAACGGTGCAAAGTTCTACGCTGAAATCATTCAGTCAGTTCCATTCAAGATAAGATAATGATGAGTGAATGAATTTAATGTCGGTTCGTTTTCTTCATTCCTTTTGCTCTAAGTGGAACACTGGACTTCAAGTAGGGGTATATTTTTATACAAGGGAGGTGGGAGGGGTTGTTAGACTTATGTATACAATATTTTCCTCTTACTACTCGAGAGGAGAGGTTCAGGAGTACGTCGGATGAGGATTGAACCCAGACCTCCCATGTGTCTGGTGAGTATATTCCATCACCGTTGAACCATGAACGCACTCACTTCATAAAGTTCATGGACAATAATGATAATAATAATAATAATAATAATAATAATAATAAAAGACAAAAAGACAACATATACTTACACAAAGTGATTCTAGGATGAATTCAGATTGTACAATATGATACAATTCCTCATTTATTATTTCATTTATTAAACTTTCAATCATCACTTTACTCATTTCATTAACTGGATGGATTACCTTGTTATATATCTATAGTAAAAGGGAAGAACAGATGAGTCAGTCAGTGAGTAAGTGATAAACCAAGTTTACATTAAACAGTATCACGTATCAACTAATCGTTTCTTATCTAACAGAATCTAAATGTCATTTGTGTGGGAAGACGTAGGTTATCCATTGATATATATTTAAACCCAAACTTTTTACAGTATGTATGAGCAGCAACCGACAACGAAGCGTAAGAAACACCTGATGAATATATCACATAAGCTTAATAAAATTGAGTCTGCTCTTCACGAAGCTAATTTCTCCGGTGTTTTACACAGACAGCCCATGCAGCAAGACTGTGGACAGTAGTATTTTAGATGCCCAACTGTCATATATAATATTGTGTAGGTTGTACTTAAAGATAAACACAATATAAAAGCTTTACTCTGCATTGATGGAAAATTCTCACATTTTCTTGAACAATCCAATCAATTCTCTGACTAGTCTCACTACGACCTTCAAACACAAGAGTCTGGACCGGGTATCTTAGAGAGCTTAGAATTCTTATCGAGTCATTGTATTATCAAAAGGAACCGAAGTTTTAACCAAATATTAATATAATATTAACTGTAATACAGTTGGATAAGTACTGTAAGGCAGTAGAACACACCAGCTGATGAACTCGCTTCCAAGCGACTGAAATGAATGTCCAGTGTTTCGACTGCTTCGATTCAGCTGATGGAATTATAGTAGTGTACTTGATTTGAGCGGTTAAAATATACTCCACATATCAATGAGTACTATATACATCGTCAATAAACAGTTTTGTGTTGAATTACGGCAGCCAAAATGTTTGATGATGTAATATAGACAGGTGGTGTGTAATCAGTCAGTTATTGCTCATCAAAAAAAGACACTTGGGAAAGCATTCCATCCTCACCTAAAAAGGTTTACGTTTCCATAAGGTTGTTGGCCTAAAAACTGAGTATAATCGACCACAAACGAAGGGAACAGTTAGGGAAACTAACAGTATAACACACACACATTTAGTGCTTGTAGAATATCTGTGATCCTGAGTTTCAAGCCTAAATTGCCATTCAATTTAGTGAGAAAGTGTTACAGTTAGTTCAGTGGTTCGCTTTGAAATGAGTTTCCGAAACAGGTTTTTCATGTGTTTTTGGCTATGAGTGAGGGCTAATCATAATACCTAGACTGGGGTAGTTGTAGTGCGATTCGAATCATGGACACTGTAGGCTGATAGATAAGTGATAAGGCCAGCGATCCACATCTCACAAATAGCGACACCACAAACTTAAACGCCTAAGCTATAACTGGCATGTTAACGAATCAACATAAGACAAATAAGAATTAAAATTCAATGATCAACTTATGGAAAGAGGATACAGTAGGATGATAATATCCTAAGCGTACCCAGAAAGATGAATAGCGACGGGGGACAAGCACCTGGCACTCCTGTAAAATCATCTAAATTATAGTACATCCCACCTGCACATATACTACAAAGGGGTGAGGGAAGATCAGAATTTTCTTTTTCAAACCGTGGAAAATACTCATCGGGAGATTAGAGTGAAAAGAACAAGAAGTTCAGCAAAAGTGTCTTTTCGGCGATTTTAAAAATAAATTGTTTGGACTACACCCAGACAATCTAGACTTGCGTACATGACTCAGATACATGATCAACAGGAAGGTACAACATCTTTTTAATGCTACTAAAATATTTTACGAATTGAAGTAATGCGATTTAGATCGTGGAGATATGCATCTCAATGGTTTAATCACTTGACTTTCTGTCAACGGGTTCCCAGGTTTCAATCCCCCGCTCTGTCTAATTCAGCCTGGCTGACTATTTAACATCATCAGCGTCCACAAAACTGTACAGCTTGAAACCGGGTACCAGGTGAAATGAATCCAAAGTAATTAACTGACTAACTAAACCTACATTGGTCATATAGTGTCGGCGAATAGACTAAAACAGTAGTCTAACTCATCCACTGAAATAAATGTATCAAGTGTTGGCTTGGGAAAATTCGCCTAACTTTGAGCAAAATCATAGGTTGTTTCGTCCTAGTTTTAGACTCTTCATCAGTGAGCACTTACGACCCCACCAAGGGTCGAACTATGAACTTTCAATTTACAAAACGAAGCTTGTGGACCATTCAGATATTTGGGCTGAAGTTCTGTGACTCGCGAATTCTAAATCTGCCAATTTTGGATACAGTGCTACCTAGGTGGGGTCATGAGTGTACGCTGCTGAAAAGTCCCAAAGTGCAACGAAGCAGCTATCTACTGCTCCCTAGTTTCTAACGCTCTGTAACTGATGCTGGTTCATGAAGGAATCTACATTGAAATTATTCCAAATCCTCACAAGAATCTATAATTTAAAGACAATGGACAGGGAATCATTGAAAAGCATTGATTAGTAGACAACCGTTTCGTCCTAGTCCTAGGGGACTCTTCAGCAGTACATACACTCTCAAGCCAACAGGGAATCGAACCCTGGGACTACCCAGTATTCTCTAGTTTTCAACAGTTCCCTAAACTGATGTCACAGTTCATCATCAAACTTGATTAGTAATTAATATCGTTTTGTTTTCCAAAACACACATACCTCAATCAACTGTTCTTTAAAAAGCGTTTCAATTAAATTTTCGATCCATTCATGTATGATCATCTCTTGTAGGAGAAGACTTTCAGCTAACTCTTTAAAATGCATAACATCATCAACAACACATTCATAGAAGATCTGTTCAACGAGTTGATTATCAATCGGTTTCTTGTTCTGTGTGTTAGCAGCTCCAGTTAACCACGACGATGATGATGATGATTGTGACGTAATTAGTGAAGAATTCAGTTTTGCTTGTTGAAATGAAGGGAATAATGAGGAGGATGAAAGAGAATAGTCCACAGTACTATTGATGATATTGCTGTTTCTGTTGTTGCTGCTGCTTCCATCATCAGCAGTAATACGATTGCTGAATAGAGCATTACCAAAACCACCACTGGAGCTGACGACCATATTATTATTGTTATTATCATTATTACTAGTAACAGTTTGTACATTTGTATTCTGTCCACCTGCTATGTACATACCATTTGTATCGAATGAAGATTTTACAGGAGGTGGTATAGCATCTGAAGGATTAATAGGTGAACCATTGAATAATTCAGATAGTGTAGTACCGATTCGTTTGTTTTCAATTAGCTATATATGTAATTGGAAACATGGAAAAGAAATAAAGCAAAGTAGATTAAAATGCATGTGAGTTACACGGATGAACTGAAACTCTGACGATAGATTCGAATTAGTAACCTATAAGTGTTAATAATTGCTGGATACTTAAACGAGTAGCAGTAAAAAGTCACACAACTCTTTTTTTTCCTTCACGTTCCCAGTGGAACATAGGGCTTTAAGCCAGTGGCTTGAAGTTTCTGTAGCAGTGTTTATTTTTATAGGATGGGGTTGCTAGCCACATGCCCAACCTTTCCTCTTAACCAGCACTATTTCTGGTTTAACGAGGTAAAGGAGTGCGTCTGTGGCCGGGGATCGAACCCCGGACCATGTGCATGATCGGTGAGCGCCCTAACCGCTGTGCCACCGACGCACAACTCTACCAACTATAAATTCAGACTGATGGATTTCAACGTAGAACTTTGCACAGAAATATAGCAGTTTAACTTGTTGCAAGAATAATTACGCGGAGAAATATGCCGGACAAATGGATCAAGGTGATTAGAAAGAGTGAATGAGAGGGTCAATAGGGATCATTTTGAGCGAATTTCATTTAGAAGTGTCAAGCTGCCGGTTCTTAGCGTCCTAAAGACCTTAACTAATCAGTCCACACCTCCTCAAACCAACTACCAAAGATTCTGAGAATTGATGTCAAGTTATGATTTGAGCACCTCTAACCCTTTCGCAACCTAGCCCTACGTCTTGTTGATATAAGGATAGAACTTGAGCACTGTGGTAGAATATAATTCCATTATAAAAAAATTAATTCTGATAAAGTATCACAGTGTTATATGGTAATATTTACTGACGATGTTTCGAGCACAATTCATTGTTCACAATCATATCAAAGTACTCACACAAGTTTATGACATATGAACGAATAAATAAAAATCAATATAAATTTCAATAGACATACGTGAAACAGAAATGAAAACAACGGATAAGATATCCATAATGAAACTAATCCTATGTCAGCTAACATTGCTCGATGAATAAGGTGATGGCACTTCTTTTATAGAAGTACACATTAATTTCAATAATCGGACTGCATGAATATCACAGAAAAACAAATCATAAAAGATATATTACTAATAAGTAGCTTAAAAATAACAATCAAAATAATTGTTGCCGTAGTGTCGATATCTCAGTGATAGCATAGTCCCCCCCCCCCCCGCCCACCAGCAAACATGAGGTAGGTTTGGGTTCAATCCCTGTCTGAAACACTTTTAAATCTCGCTTATATTATTCGCCGATAGTACTCCAGGCAAAAAGGGAAGTTTAGGTGTGAGGAAAAACAACATCGCACCACAGAAACTTAAAAGGCCTACTTTCCGCTTGAAACATAAACAACGAAAAAATTAGCAGAAGAAATAGTAGTAGTAGTATTAGCTTACCTGAAATGATCTATTCTCTCTCCATGGTAACTCAGGTGGTTCCGGTTGCACCTGTTTTTCAAAAATCACATTTGAATCATCTGTTGTTAAACCCCAACGTTCACAGAAATCTTTTGTTTCAGTATTATTTTCAAAACCAAGTTGTCTAGTCAGCGTAGAAATAGGATACTGTTGAAAAAAGGAAAGAAAAATAATGCAGAAACATAAAAAGATGAATGGCAAGTTTTTTCGAGAGAGAAATAAAAGGATTGGCAAAAGTAAGAATTTATGAGGTGTGTGATTCTATTCCACTGGCTTCACGCTCAATAGGCTTGTCTTATAACCCCAAGGTACACGGGTCGATTCCCACCGGGATGGTGGGTATGTACTGCTAACGAGTCCCAAACCAAGACCAAACAGCTGGTCAGTATTTCTTTCTTTTCAATGATAGCCTAACTGATGTGGAACTGCGCACTATTGAAGAGTCCCAATCTTAGATGAAACAGTTGTCCAGTGCCTCATAGCCATCAGTACTTCAATGAATGATATTAGCCCATTGACGAAATCTAGATTGGAATCAATTCATTCCCTATAAACTTAGCATTTGAAATATAATAAAGACAACAAATTACCGAAAATACGTGAGTGATTAAATACTCAACCACAGTGTTTGAATCAGTAGACACAGCAACTATAATAGAGTTAAAATGCATTAATATTATTACTCCCTTAAGTCCCTAATGGAGTATAGGGCTTAAACGGTGCACCTTCACTTTGTCCCGTTTACTCCATTCCTCTTTAGCTGGCTCCATGATTGCCGATAAGATCTCATCTGCTCATCACACGATCTCCTCTATGTTACCCTCAGATCTACGCCCAACTCATCGTTTCTTATTCGTTTTCCCTTCAAGTGTCCGCCTGACACGTGGTGTTGCTAAATGGTCGCCTCAACGTTTATCCGATCCATCTCTATTTCATTCGGAATATTTGTTGGACCAGTTATAAGTTGTTGGTTGGTTCGTTACCTGCCTGAGATTTTTGTTGATTATCCTCTTTCTGAACATCTGATTTTCAGTTATCCAGAGAAGACAGCTGTTGTGACAAAAGTCTTCAGGAACCTGCTCGGAATGCTTCAAGTCTCTGAACCATATAGAAGAAGTAACCGACTTAACATTAGTGTTGAAGGTCCAAATCTTGTCATTTACGCTGCGTGAAACAAATTTCCCCACTGGTTTCAAAGTAATGAAGGTTTGTCTTGCCTTTCCAATGCTGCCTTTGACCTCTACATCTGTTCCGCCTACGGTTGAAATGATAATGTCTGGGTAGGTGAAAAGGTGACTTCCCTTAGATTTCTCCAGTTGATGGTGATTGGTTAATCTTAATTTCTGTGGGTTAAGTATCTTCACAACCTCTATCTTCTTTAGGTCCAATTACAGTCTTGCCTTCGCTGCTTTTCCTGATAACTTTTTGGTTTCCACCTACAGAACATCAAGTTTGTATGACACTGGAGATAAATCGACCGCGAGTTCCTGGTCTTCTCAATCCCCACAGACTATCGCATGATTCAATTCAAAATTGCAATAAATACTATTCGTTAAAGTCAAGTGGACTTATTTGAGACTTATAGTTGCAAATTATAAAGGCCTTGCGTTGATAACAAGTGAAATGTCTGTCTGTCTGCCTATTTACGACAAAGAACTTTGCACATATGTGCACCAGTTCAAGTCACCACACTACCTCCTTGCAGCACAAAAAGCAAGCGAAGAAAGTAAACAGGAAATGCAAAATAGAGGCAGTAAACAGAGATATGAGACAAAAGGAATAGTAATAACGAAGAACAATATAGTGTCATTGGGTATTATAAATCACAAGGAGTGGATGCATCTTCGCCAGCCATTGAGAACGATCACTTTGAGCCATATCACCAGTTGTCTTCAGCCATTGGTGTTTACCGTCCCGAGGACTCCAACTAATCAGGAAGTCTACACCTTCCTATGTGGCTGGCTGGCTTAAATTAACTGTCGTGGATTTCATTGACTGATGAAACCATGTTTTGGTTTAACCACTACGAGCTCTTTTCCAACCCTGAAGCTATGTGAACTAACATTGCCAGTCGAAGAAGGTGATGACTAGGTACACGTAACACATGTTATAACCATCTCAGTCGATGTAGCTCCACAGCCTCGTCGATTGATTTCCCTTCCCGCCTTACCTAGCACTCGACTCACGCCTAACCTCAATATTGCTCACCTTACTATACCACTTCACACGGGAGAAAGAGCACAAGCACCTATGATCAAGGACAGCTAATCTTTTCATGTCTTTCACTCTTAATGGCCAGGTCTCACAGCCACCCATAAAGGAGGACGGAGTACATACGCCCATTGGTCGATAGCCAGAGACGGTGTAGACTGGCATATGCAAAACTAGCCCTCTGTATCCCTGCTGAGATTTCGTCAGAGATCAACCCGTTAGGGCTGATGCGACTTCCCAAATAAGTGAAGTGGTCAACGTGCTCTACCACTTCACTCCCTATTTCTAAACTACGAGTCAGTGTAGTCCAGTCCTGTAGCCTCATTATCTTACATTTGGCGGGAGCGAATCACATGCCAAACATTCGAAGATTTCTGCTGATCAAGGCGTTCAGAAGACTCTGGATTTTGTCAGCGTCCTCGCCTAGAAGGACTATATCGTCTGCATATTCTAAGTCAACGAGATTATTCCCTGAGTCGCTGAAGTTGAATAGAAATGGGGATAATGGGCATCCTTGACGAACACCACTAGTCTTCACCACTTCAGATGACAACTCGCCGTAAACCCTCACCTGGCTGCATGAGTTCGAGTAGAGTGCCTTGATCAATGCAATGTATTTTGTCGGCATTCCCTTCATGCCTAAGCATCCCACTACTGAATAGCAACCAACGTTTACTGTTTCGTCAGTCAATATTACCCATGATCATTCGTCTTAATATGAGTCCCCAATGGCCACGGCTTTTAACCAGACCTAAGGCTGCACCAAATTAGTTTAACCAACAGAAAAAATCCAAAAAAATCATATAACTTAGTTTTGATATGAATATTAAAAAACACAAACAAATAACACATTACATATTGAATAACTTACATGGACTTCACGTTTTGGATGTCCAGCAAAAGCATATGATAATCTTGTTAAAGCTTGACCACGTATTTGTACAAAATATCTATGCATAAGACAAGCCGGTAGACATTGGGCTAGACGAGCTAATCGAAAAAATCGAACATAATTATTTGTTATCAGTGCTTCATGTGCAGCGAATGCAAAGCGTACAGGTTTAGATTTACGTATACGATCAGGTAGACGTTGAGCTTCACTAAAATAATCAAATAGGAGAAAGAAAGTACGAAGAATTATATACTGAAATGTTTTTACGATGTTTAATTAGTTAATATTCAAAATAGTTGAAATGTAGCGCGTCAAAATCATCACACATGCAAGAAAGTAATTCAGTCCATAAACTGTGAAGTGGTTGTGTATACCTCAATAGGTGTAGGTGACGGAAGTGTTACGTATTCAGCCAACTTGCCATTGCCTATATCCGTACCGCACTTGAGACAGACCTCTCCGAAACACTCATAACCTACTTGGTACGGACGAGTGTGAATAGACTTCAGTTCCTCCCTTGGAATGCAATTATGTGACAGCGCGTGCATAGACTCTGTCAGGTAAGTCCTATTTCGTCCCTTCATGCAGCTGGAGTGTTCTTTACAAAAGTGAAAAGGAGAATTTGAACATCTCTGAGTTTACAACCGGATTGTTATGCATGCTGGTCTAACTAGGGAAGCTGGAAAATCCTGATCCCAAACCTAGGGTGGGATTGAACAGCGTATTAACCTATTTTGGTCACTGGAAACCATGGAAATGTAGCTTCTGACGCTGCTCCACTGCCTTGTGGATAAGACTTCAAGTCAAAGGATCGTGGGCGTGGCCTCTCAGGATGACCATGTGCTTCAGTCTGGGCACTCGCACAAACTATGAGATTTTGTGCGGTGCACCTCTCGATTCCCATAACATGCCAAGTTTTGTTTTAATTTTCTACAACAACCCCAGGTAGGCGATTGTCTGACTGACTGGAGTCTTCGAGATGCTATAATACAGTGGCTCACAACCGTTGGTGATACGGCTTGAAACCATTGTCAATGATGGCATAGATATATACATTCAGTCTTTGTAATCTCCCAGATTAAAATTATTATTTTTTAAGTAATTGTTGTTTCTTATTGAATTGAAATTTTGATTTTCCCGTCGATTGATTGGACCGAAGTGTTCGGTCTCAGGTTGACATGTCGGCTTCTTGTGCAGATGCTTCGACGATGTCTGGGGATTTGATTTGTATACAATTGGTGGATGGTGGCTAGCAGTGGAATCCAGGATGCGCATTTCGCCCTAATTGGGACTCGTCAGCTGGATGTACCTGCATTTCTCAGTGAGTGATGATGTTCTATGGGCACTGGGTTCGAGCCTCGGTGGGAACATCACCACTCACTGAGAAATGCAGATACATCCAGCTGACGAGTCCCAATTAGGACGAAATGCGCATCCTGGATTCCACTGCTAGCCACCATCCACCAATTGTATACAAATTGTTGTTTCTGTTGCAAATCTCCATTCATTAATGTTTCTTTGGTTTTTTTCTCCCCCTACTTTGTGTGCTATATGAAGTATGTGGCAAGTTGAACTACTGCACTTGTGTGCTAAGTTCTACGACACAATAACTTCTCATTAAGAATCGGAAGATATTCATAGGACACATTAAAGAATACTGCCCTGTGTAATTCATCCTTAGCAATACTTTATCTCACCTACCTTTACTTCTCCCATACAGTGAAGTGACATATGAATAAGTTGGAAAACAGAAGTGATCAGATCAAAATATGGCATCAATACATAAAGTATTCGACTGTTGACTTGATCCAACCACGTAAAAAGGTGAAGATTGTCTGGCTGCTGAGCAGTCCGCTCCGTCCTCCTTTGTAACTGTAAGACATAAAAAGATTAGCTGTCCTTGATCGTAGGTGCCTGCGTTCTATCTCCCGTGTGAAGTGGTATAGTAAGGTGAGCAATATTGAGGTTAGGCGTGAGTCGAGTGCTAGGTAAGGCGGGAAGGGAAATCAATCGACGAGGCTGTGGAGCTACATTGACTGAGATGGGTAGAACATGTGTTATGTGTGCCTAGTCATCACCTTCTTCGACTGGCAATGTTAGTTCACATAGCGTCAGGGTTGGAAAAGAGCTAGTAGTGGTCAAACCAAAACATGGTTTCATCAGTCAATGAAATCCACGACAGTTAATTTAAGCCAGCCAGCCACATAGGAAGGTGTAGACTTCCTGATTAGTTGGAGTCCTCGGGACGGTAAACACCAATGGCTGAAGACAACTGGTGATATGGCTCAAAGTGATCGTTCTCAATGGCTGGCGAAGATGCATCCACTCCTTGTGATTTATAATACCCAATGACACTATATTGTTCTTCGTTATTACTATTCCTTTTGTCTCTATTTTGCATTTCATGTTTACTTTCTTCTCTTGCTTTATGTGCTGCAAGGAGGTAGTGTGGTGACTTGAACTGGTGCACATCGGTACAAAGTACTATGTTGAAAGCAGACAGACAGACTGGCTGATTGGCTGACGTCTTCAAGACGCAAAGAATCAAAGACTGAAAACTGTTAGTAATAGATATGACTTAAAATCGTTCTCACTGACGGTGTAGATGCATTCACAACTTTGTAATCTCTTAGATGCATCAAGTCTTCATGTCTGTCCATGTGAAAACTCACTCAGTTACGTTTTCCCCTTCTACTAAAAATATCTTTAATGAAAGATTGTTTACTTACTTGATTTCATTTTGGTCATTCAATTTCATTAAAAGCATATAAGCTCGAAATTCTGCTTCATTAGGACATAAATGTTCAGCAGACGTCGACGACGACGAAGATGATAACAATGATGTTGATGAAGAATTTAACATATCTAAATCACTGTACATTTCTTTTAATGTCTGTAAACATTGTGTCAAGTTCTCTGAATTAATACGTGGATCAAAACTATCCACTGGTTGATCAACCAGGCGTGCAGCACAGAATATATGAAATCTTGCTATCCGTTCAATAACACTGATAACAATTGGACAGCATAAGTTTTGCTGACGTATATCTTTACGTATAGCACGTGTACGTGTCCACATAAATTCATACCATGGTTTCCAAAGACTACGTGTCGTGTCAATCTCTGGACGATCAGCTATAGTAGCTAATAAATAAGCCATTGTACGTTGTAGCACATGTGTTGGACGTAATTCTCTTGGTAAAGGAACTGGTTGATCAGCTGATGAACGTTGATAGTCTTTTACGGCTCGTGTATGATCCATTTCCCAACTGGATGAATTTGAACTTAGAGTTGACGGTAAACATTCAAATATCTATCAATAAAGAAATTAACAGTATTTAGACATAATAAGCTATTTGTCTATAGTTACAGTTAAGAAATGTGTTCCGATAATGAAAGTATGCTTGTATAACTCTAATAGTGCATCGATGCTTCAATGGTAGCATGCTCGCCAACAATGCAGACGTAATCCGGGTTCGATTCCCGACAAACGTACTGCTACTAAACCTCGCTTACACGCCTTTAAACCAAGGAAACAGGAAAGATTTGGTTGTTGGGCTAGCAACTCTACCTCCCCGGCCGACAACTGCTACCTTGCCGTGGTGGTACGGCTGGAATACTTCAGTGACCCAACAAGCTAAACTGGCTGGGATTCATGTCCCTGCAGGTCCTACCATGTCAGGAAGGTTGTTTGGATAGCGGTTAGACTAAAAGCAGTTACCATGGGGTACATGGGCTCCAGAATCCAATCGGATCAAATGGCGTGTGAACCTATATGGGTCACCGGAAACCATGGGAATGCAGTTCCTGACGCTGCTCCGCTGCCTTGCAGATTAGACTTCAAGTAAAAGGCTCGGGGGTGGTCCCTTCAGAAAACCACCTGCTTCGGTCTGGGAGCCCGGGCAGTATCTCAGCCCCCACACAAGAAATGAAGTAAAACAACAAACTGTCATTGAAATTCATCGCGCGCTAGTAAAAATGATTTCAAGCAATAATGATCCCTCAAACAACTTATGTCCTTCCAACCTTACTTTTATTTTTAAACATAGATTCTTGTATTTTACCTTTGTTATCCTTGACTTCTTAACCTTCGACAGCCTTTCGCCTTTGTCTGGATTCCCAGCCTATCTGTGTCGTTTCGAGATGTTAGTGAGTAACCCTCAAAATCGATGGCTCGAAACGTTATCAGATATGACCAAGAATTGTAATCAATGGCGAACGTCTTGCAATTTCCTTCTTTCTTCCCTTCCCGATGATAGTCAACGAATACTGTTTGAACTTGCTAAGCATGACTGTTTTCCTTACAGATGAAGTTCTTTATCCGTTCTTTACTTATACTTTTACTTTTAATCTATGTTGTTTTACTATTATTGTGTGGCACATCTTTCTTGGTACTATATTGTACCAAGTTTTTTCTGCGTTTAAATAAATAAATAAACTCTACCCCATAAAACAAAACAAAATATCATTGCTAATTAAACTTAAAGGCTTGAATCTCTATGTTCTACTCGCAATGCAAAAGGAATGAAAAATATAACTTCAATAAAGTAAATAATACGAACTTCTTGCGTCCTACACAATCTTAATTTTATTTTTTTTTTTTAATTTTTGATTATAGCTTGATTTCACACCGTATTTTTGGTACAGGTATGGAATTTTCAGCATGTGATATCGGTAGTCCAAATTTCGCAGACCAACCATAGACATCAAGTGTGCATCGGCGGGGGATCGAATCCCGGACCCTGTGCATGGTCGGCGAGAGTCATAACCGCTGTGCTACCGATGTACAGGTCATCTTAAGTTTCATTATTTATCACTACAATGCTGTAATTATCTAATGCTATCAAAGTGAATCTTGTTCCTGATACTTTCAAAGTATACCCTTAGTTCAACAGCAGAACACCTCGTGAACTCAGGACATTCAGAGACATTGGATAAATTCTTCAAAGTCTCATACAAGATCCTGTCAAATGAAATGATACCAAGACATATGAGCATAGTTGAAGCCTTAGCAAATAAAAAACTTCAACCCTATGTTGTGTAACCAGAAGAATGACATACAAGTTTTACCTTTGAATGGAAATAGCTATGGAACACTATCACCAACGATGTAATAACTCCACAAATTCACCGCCTAGTTGATGACTTCATCGACAAGAAAATTGTTTCGTAGCTGCAAATGTTTTGTTTTTTATTTCTCCTGTGATCTAATCAATATCTCCCTACTATTTAAAAAGTGTTAAACAGTTCGAAGAAAGTGTACCTTTACAGGTAGTCTTACATTGCAAACATACACTAAGGAAACAACACGTTCTAGTGATCGCCAACAGATTAATTCATGGGATTAAGGCGACCAGCAACCATGAGAACGTAGCTCGTGACGCTTGTTGTGAACTTTTCTTATAATACGTATCTAATCATATTCATATCTCTACCGCTATTAACACTCTTTTTTCCTTTATATGTTTAAGCCATTCCGGCTTCATTGTAAAATGAATAAAGCCTAAATTCTTGGTTCATTCGTCTTTTCAAGATTCAAGCATCACTCATCGTTCTAAGACTCAATCACCTTCGTAACAATTTATTCATTTTACAATATTCATGGAACGATTTTTCCGACCTGATCGGTTCGACGTAGAACCTAACGCAGTTGGAGCTGCCAAGAAGTGGGATCACTGGTTTGCGACTTTTTCCTACTTCATTGAATCAATGGGATCCGAAAATCCTTCGAAACTACATATTCTCTTCAATCATATTTCTACTTCTGTATACGAATGCATTTCTGAATGCAAAACATACGAAGAAGCTATCGACACTCTCAAGAGTCTCTACATGCAGCCTTGCAACGAAGTGTTTGCTCGACACTTGTTAGCAACGTGTAAACAAGAATCTGGCGAAAATCTGGATCAGTTTGTTCGTCGACTCAAGTCGCTGACTACAGATTGTTCATTCAGGGCAGTTACAGCCGAAGAACATCGTAACGAATCTCTACGTGATTCATTCATCTCAGGTATACAGTCTTCGATGATACGCCAGAGGCTATTAGAACAGCGTACTTTAACTTTTCAAGCGGCATACGATCAAGCACGAGCTCTAGAGATGGCACATCAACAATCGCAGTCATACAACAATCCTGTTACACCTTGCGCGTCCATTTCTTTACATGATGTACCTCATTCATCAGATTCCACACCCTCCGTCAATGAAACAACCATTGCTGCCGTTGAATCCAAATGCTTTTTCTGTGGTAATCGTAGACATCCTCGTTCCAAATGCCCCGCCCGTGATGCAGTTTGCAAAGCTTGTGGCAAGCAAGGACATTTTCAGAAGGTTTGCAGGTCTGCGCCATCTACGAAAAAAGGTCCATCTTCAGTTAACTCTATAATTTCATCTCTCGTTGTGGCTTCAGCACCTCAAAGTCTCACTGATGCTGTTACGCAGCTTACTGTCAATGGGAAATCAATGCAAGCTCTAGTGGATACCGGAAGCAGTGAGAGCTACATCTCTTCCTCAGTTGTTCGTAAGTATAACTGGAAAGTCCATAAGTCTCGAAACAGAATCACAATGGCGAGTACGAATCTTACTAGTCATACTGAAGGACATTGTTTTCTATCCATCTGCTATAAAAACCACACTTATGATCTATTCAAATTTTCCATTCTTCATAATTTATGTGCAGACGTCCTTCTTGGACATGATTTTTTAAAACTTCACAAACACATTGAGATTCCTTTTGGGGGATCAAAGCCGCCTTTTTCTCTCTGTGGTCTACCTTGTGTTCGCGTCGACCTGCCTACTCTGTTTGAAAATCTTTCAAAAGACTGTAAACCGATCGCGATAAAATCCCGGCGTTATTCTCGTGAAGATGAAAGTTTTATTTCCACCGAAGTCAACCGGTTACTGCAAGAAGGTGTTATTGAACCTTCTAATTCTCCTTGGCGAGCTCAAGTTCTTGTTACGTCAAACGAACGCCATAAAAAGAGGATGGTAGTTGATTATAGTCAGACAATCAATCGATTCACTTTTCTGGATGCTTACCCATTACCTAGGATTGACGAAATGATAGAAAAAATCGCACAATATGACATATTCAGCACTCTTGATCTGAAGAATGCTTATCATCAAATTGCCCTAAGGAACGAAGATAAACCATATACTGCTTTCGAGGCTTGTGGGAAACTTTACCAATTTTGCCGAATTCCTTTTGGTGTTACCAATGGCGTAGCTTGTTTTCAACGCATTATCGATGAATTGATCAGTAAAGAACAACTCACAAGCACGTTTGCCTACATTGACAATGTCACTATCTGCGGCAAAACTCAGGAGGAACACGACAAAAATCTAAACAAGTTTATGGTAGCAGCACGCAATTATGGAATAACCCTTAATGATTCCAAAAGTGTGATCTCAAGCAGAAGCATACAATTACTCGGTTATGAAGTTTCAAAGGGGGTTATTAAACCAGATCCCGATCGGCTAAAACCTCTTCGTGATCTAGAACCACCCACAGATATCAAATCTCAACAACGGGCCGTTGGATTATTTGCTTATTATTCACAGTGGATCCCTCGCTTCTCAGATAAAATCCACCCATTGGTAAATAATCGGATTTTCCCTCTTGATATCGAAACTCGAAATGCTTTTGACAAACTGAAAGACGACTTAGAACGTGCAGTCGTTGTGGTAGTTGATCCGAAAGCACCCCTTGTTGTTGAAACAGATGCTTCAGATGTCTCAATTGCAGCTACATTAAACCAGAATGGTAAACCTGTCGCCTTCTTTTCTCGAAGCCTCTCTCGAAGTGAGAAACATCATTCATCGGTTGAGAAAGAAGCCTATGCCGTGGTTGAAGCAATTCGTAAGTGGAAGCATTACCTTCTCGGAAATCACTTCAAACTTGTCACTGATCAACGTTCAGTAGCATTCATGTTTGACAAGATTCATAAAGGCAAAATCAAGAACGATAAAATAATGCGTTGGAGAATTGAGCTATCCCCTTATCAATATGACATCATTTATCGTCCTGGAAGGGATAATCAAGCTGCTGATACATTTTCCCGTAGTTTCTGCGGTTCCTTGCAGTCAGTGTGCGACTTGAAATTTCTCCATGACTCTATGTGCCATCCTGGAGTTGTCCGAATGATGCATTTTGTACGCTCGAGAAACCTTCCATTCTCCCTTGACGAGGTGCGCAATGTAACCAGTAAATGCGTGACATGCTGTGAGTTAAAGCCTCAATTTTACAATCCCTCTAATTTCAAACTCATAAAAGCAACCCAACCTTTTGAAAGGTTAAGCATCGACTTTAAAGGACCTCTACCGTCAGCTAGCCGCAATCACTATCTGCTCACGCTGATCGATGAATATTCTCGATTCCCCTTTGCATTCGCCTGCCCCGACATGTCGTCTCAAACGGTAATGAATTGCCTTTGCCAACTGTTTTCGATTTTCGGTATGCCTTCTTACATACATACCGACAGAGGCGCTGCTTTCATGTCTACCGAATTACGGGCATTTCTTCTGGAGAAAGGCGTAGCAACCAGTCGTACTACCTCATACAATCCTCAAGCCAATGGGCAGGTCGAGCGCCTCAATGGAACACTTTGGCGTGCCATCACTCTAGCATTAAGATCACGGGGCCTACCAACGGCACAATGGGAGTCTGTTCTACTCGACGCCTTGCATTCCATCAGATCTTTGCTCTGTACTGCAACGAACGCCACGCCACACGAACGACTGTTTACCTATAACCGAAGATCGACATCTGGGACAACTCTTCCTACTTGGCTCACTGTACCAGGACCAGTACTTCTCCGGCGGAGTGTTCGTCAGTCCAAATTCGATCCCCTGGTTGAAGAGGTGGAGCTATTGAATTGTAACCCGCAATTCGCTCACGTTCGCTTCGGTAATGGACGTGAAGATACAGTTGCTCTTCATCATCTGGCACCCAAAGGCGAAGATATAGATCAAGTTGAAAATTCAATACCGGAGGGCGACGCAATTCCTGAGCAACAAGTAAATGGGGATGCGACCACTGATCCTAATATTCTTCGTGAAGAAAATACAACTGAAACGAACAACGGGCGTATTCTTTTGGAAAAACAACAACGTGTACGGCCTTACAATTTGCGTACCAGAGAAGCGTGACATAATGGCTCATTCCTTTTCAAGCCGCAGTGAATGTTGTGAACTTTTCTTATAATACGTATCTAGTCATATTCATATCTCTACCGCTATTAACACTCTTTTTTTCCTTTATATGTTTAAGCCATTCCGGCTTCATTGTAAAATGAATAAAGCCTAAATTCTTGGTTCATTCGTCTTTTCAAGATTCAAGCATCACTCATCGTTCTAAGATTCAATCACCTTCGTAACAACGCTATTCCACTGCTCTGTGGACCAGTGTTCAAAGGTTCTGAAGATGGCTACTTAGGACAACCACCTACCTAATGCGATCTGAACGCCCGGTTACTATCCGGGCCTTAATATAAACTTAGCACACCTAATTTTCTCGAATTTACACGCACCTTATAACCTTCAAATGACTATGAACATTCCATTATAGATAAGATTTTATTTTGATAAATCACACAGTGTTTACAGTTATATGAACTGATGACGTTTCGAGCACAAACTATTGCTCATAATCATATCAAGTTACTCACACAACTTTGTTCTCTTGTTTATACATGTGTGGAATGGATTAGATATTGGATTAAAAATCAATGTGAGATAATGTACATTCAGAAATAATCGTATGAGTGTTGTTGATCGATTGCAATTAGATGGGAAATTGGACGAGTGTTTTTTACAGTCATAATAAGCTGCTTGTTAGAATGTGTTTGAATTGAAATAGAATTTTAAGATTATTTATTATCTTCTTCTGGTTTGACTGATGGCATTAATACGAGTGTTATTGATCTACTACAATCAGATGGAAAATACGACGAGTGTTTTAATAGTCATAATAAGTTTTTTTTAGAATGTTGTGATGTGTTTGAATTGAAATAGAATTTTAAGATTATTTATTACCCTCTTCTGATTTAACCTGCGGTAATAATATCTTCCATATCTCTGGTATTTGCATTGAGTCATTTTTGTTGCATGTGTTGGGTGTGGACTCGATAAATAAGGATTCCGTAATCAACCTCTCTCTCCACTTAGCTATATTACTTTTTAGAATTTTAACCCTCTCCCACCCTATTGTGTGGTTGTTTGTTATTGCATGAAGTGCAATAGCTGAGCTTTTTTCTAAATTACTTATCTTTTCAGGGTCAACCATTCTTACCTTAGCTAAATTCTTATGTTCTGTTAATCTGACTATCCCTGACCTACTAGTTTGACCTATGTAGTTGACCTCACAGTTATTGCAGGGTATTTTGTAAATTATATTATTTTGTTTAATTGGATCCACCGGGTCTTTTAGCCTACAGAGCTTGTCTCTGAGTGAGTTTGTAGGTTTGAATGCCACCCTAATTCCTGCTTTATTAAGAATCCTACGTAGGGCCTCAGATGTGCTTTCCTTATATGGTATAACAGTGGATGACTTATATTCTTTCTTATTTGTGTTATCATTAATAGTTTCACCATTATTTTTATTTTGCTTTTGGTTTTTGCTGATCTACCTAATGAATTTTATAGGATAGTTATTCAACACCAACGCTTCTTCTGTCTGTTTTATTTCATCATTTAGGTCTTTTTTTTGTGCTACTTAGTGCTATGGCTCGATTTGTTAGACACTTTACTAAGCCTGCCTTAAAAATGAACATGGTATGAACATGGTATTAGTCGAATTGACGTAGTGTGCTTTATCACAAGAAGCTTTACCCCCTTCCTTACAAACTGGATTAACTAACGATCCAGTAGAAATTAACTTATACTCCCTTACACTATTTATTGTGATAATTCCTGACAGCAGTACTTCCGTATTTCTGGAATTAAATCACGACGTCTTGCAGCCTTATCTCTTGTTTCTGATTTAAAACAACTTTTGCTAATTCAGCCAGGGTTACTGGAACAATATATGCTTCCCACTTAGACTGCATGATTAGCAACCGTAGGCAAGCCGAACTTGTAGTAGAGTTCTAGCAAACCTTCCAGTTATCTATCCTAGGAATCTGTTACAGTCCTACTGAGAATTCGCGTCTCGCATGTTGCGGGCTTTCAAGAACTCGGACTCTAAAAGAGTTAACAAGGAGTTTACGTTAACCCAATATGGATTGTAGTCGTTAAGGCTTTCAGTTTGTTATGCTTACACAGCTTTCGTGTGGCACAGAGGTTAGGACTCTCGCCGACTATGTACATGGTCCAAGGTTCGACCCCCTGCCGGCGCACACCTGATATCAATGGTCGGCTTGCAAAATTTGGGTTACCGATATAACATTTCATACTTGTACCAAAAATACTGTGTAGAATTAAACTATAATCAAAATAAAATACAAAATAAAAATAAGGTTTATTGTGACAACTACATTGATTAGTGTAGAGACATAGATGAGGACCTAGTTGAAAAGGAAATATTTCTTCGCTCCATTCAACCCTAAATGATAATATGCGGGACCCACTCATCAATCTCATGCATTGTCGGGTAATTGGCAATGAGCCACACCTATTTTGCGAAGGCTAGTGATAATACCTGGTTGTTGTCCAGGCCTCAGCAGGTGGAGCAAGGCACGAAACCCGCAACCCTACAGTTGCAAGTTGAGCGTTTAGACCAATAAGCCACAATTTAAGTCAGATACTGCAGCAATACAGATACACTTAGTTTTCAAGTTTGACATAAGAATGTTTTATGAAAAATAAAAGAAAGAAATAGGGTACTTACAGATACACGCTGATGAACGGCTCGTAGATAACGTTCCAGTTCTGGACACATATCTTCACATGTACCTTTTATAGGAGCATGATGAATTGGCTCATCTGTATTACTATTACTATGGTGTGCAAATGAATACAGGTTAATTGAATCAGTTGACTTAGTTCGTAATTCACAATCACGTTTATAGTATTCCTGTAACAGAGACAATCGTTCCTCCAGTGTGACAGCATAAACAGACTTCTGTTGAAATAAATTATTGCCATTATGAATAGGTGCATTTGATAGGGAAATAGGAGATATTATTGATTGTGTACTGTATACTGTTTGAGATAATGAGGGTAGTGGTAACAGTGAGGCTGACGTTGACGCTGGAGCTGGTGGCTGGGGAAATGGTAATAAAGACGATAAGGTTTTAGTGACTTCAGAATTCGAAGTCACCGGTGACTGATTATCACCACTTGAGTCCGTTACACTAGAAAATTGTTTTTTATTTACAATCGGCTTCGTGTGCTAGAAAAAAAAAAGTAAGAAAGTTAGTAATCATTAAACATTTCTACAGATAAATTCACTTTATCTATAAGTGTTATAATGTGAATTTCATTATCCCATTTCCTTACAAAGTCAATCGGTCAGTTGTTAACAGCCTGAGAAACAATGTTACTGTATAATGCTATTATTATTGCCCTCTCGGGCTCCAAGTGAAACACAGAGCTTCAACATCTCATCTCCACTTTGTCCTACCATCTGTTGTCCCATTTACCTAGGTCCACGATTTCCCATAGTCTCTGATCTCCTCCATGGCTTTCTCAGATGCCCCACTCGTGGTTTCTCTTTCGGGTTCCACTCAAGGGCCTGGTGTACGATGTGATCCTCCGTTTAGTGGTATGAAGTACCACAATTTCATACATGTATATCACGTAGAACGTAAAGTAAGGAAAATAAAATATGGTCAGGTAGTAGTGTGGTGAGAGTTGTCTGCTAGCCAAAATTAGTAGGAAGCCATTTACGTCATTGTTCACTTCCTAAATCTTGGTCAGGAGAGAAAACAATAACAAAGACTAACTCAACAACCAATCACAGCAGACGTAACGTGGACGGATACGATTAACAGATACATATATCAACGGAATGTCTAAGAAACGGCAACAAAGAGGTGACAGAATAACCCTCAGCAGGAAAACAACCAATCAGAAGACGGTACCTCTCTGTTAACAATAACGAATAATAATGTACATGAAAATCTATAAATATCTGTTGATTTTCTCAACAAACGATCTGTTGCCTGGCTCTTGTCTTCTGTCGTTACAGAAGTAGGATTGCGATAAACCAAACGAAGAAAGATATGCATGTATTTATGTTCCTGTAAGTGATATTGGTCGATATCATCATCAAACTCTTCAATCATAGTTCCTTGTGGATAAAAATCCAAACAACTTGTACCTATAACATCAAACACATAGTTAGTGACTTTATGGATGGATATAATACCTTTGTCAGATCGCTTGCTAATGAAGTGCACTAAAGTGGATAGTAGACAGACAAGTATAACGTACTACCTGGCCATCTTAGAATATATCCTACCTAAGACTCTAAACCTAACCTGTCTATCTATAGCCCACATGCACGATGGTACTAACCAACCGCAAACAATACTACGAAGAAAACATTCATCAAATAATTGAACTCCTTTCAGGCTCTCTTTTTTGTAGTGGTCATCTGTCAACGATTGCCCGCGAAGTAATTTGGAAACTACTCGAGTACTACGGCGTACCCCAAATATTCATCAACCGTATTCAACAGCTGTACGACAACGACGGCACATGTCAAGTCATCCACAACGGAAAACTCAGCGAGGCGTTTGGAATAAACACAGGAGTCAGACAAGGGTGCTTATTATCACCAATGAGATTCCTAGTTGTGGTGGACTGGATTATGCGTCAGACGGTGAGTGGGAAACGAGAAGACAGGACCGATGTGAAGAACCTAGAAGACCTAGATTTCGCGGATGATTTATGTTTCATGTCACACAAAATCGAAGACTTACAGGCGAAAACCGACAAACTGGTCGAAGAAGCAGCTGGTGAAGACAGGACTCCAAGTGAACATAGACAAGACGGAGGTTATGAAAATAACCAGCCAACAACAACAACAACAACAACAGCAAAATCCAGCGCCAATCACTATCAACGGGAGGGATTTGAAAGAGGTTACTTCATTCACTTATCATCTAGGGAGCATTGTCTCAACTACAGGCAGTTGGAACGGACGAGGATGTCAAATCGAGCGAGAATCGGGAAGGCGAGAAACACATTCATCAACCTGAAACCAATCTGGAAATCTTCGTCACTCAACTCAGCATCAACAACAAAATTCAGTCGGATTTCCAATACAAACAACGTCAAGTCAGTCAGTTCTTCTATACGGATCAGAAACTTGGCGGGCGGGTCACAAAGAATATTTCCAACAGCCCGTTGCAGACCTTTATCAACAACAACTGTCTTCGCTGGATCTATACGGAAGATCAGATGGCCGGGCCGGAGAGAATCACCAACAAGAAACTAGCTATGGGAACAAACAAAACAAGAACCAATCGCCAACCAACAAATATGTAGGAGAAAGTGGAGATAGATTGGACACTCGCTGAGGAGGCCACTGGGTGACATCGCGTGCTCGTCAGGTCATTGCTCGAGTGTAACCCAACAGAATGGGAAGCGGCGAGTGGGACGTTAGTGCAAGGGTGACATGGAGGAGATCGTACGAAGAGGAGTTGAAACAGTATGGACTAACATGGATGCAGGTGAAAAGTACAACAGAAGACAAAAGCAAGTGGAGACGTGCAGTTGAAACCATATGTTCTACTAGGGAACAATAATATAATAATAATAATATCTGTCAACAATGATGACAGATGACGACATAAAGCATTAGTGCACAGCAAACTCATCCTTTCGTTTCGCCACAGAAGTGAAGAAATTTTACGAAGATTAAAAGAATATTCTGTAAGTTTTCTTGTTTCATCGGTCATCCTGAGGTGAAAACCAACAAGTTCGTAGAACAGGGCAACGAAGACAGAATTTCAAATGAACGTAGAGAAGAAACAGATGACGAAGACACCTAACCAGCAACAGCAACAACAAGTACAAATCACTATCAACAGGAGAAATTAAAAGGAAGTCGCCACTTTCATTTGTCTAGGCAGCATCATTTCAACTACACAATGGGAACAGATGAGGATGTCAGAAGCACGATTGTGAAAGCAAGATGCACCTTCATTAATCTGGAATTAGTCTGGGAATCTACTCCAAACAGCATAGAGAATATGAAATCAGTTCTTCTGTAGGGTTCAGAGACTTAGTGTGTCACCAAAAGTACTTCCAACAGGTTTTAGACTTTCTTCAACAACTACCTTCGATCCGTACTGAAGATCGGGTGGCCAGAAACCATTAGCAACAAAGGAGTCTGATAACTGACTAACCAAGAGCCTATTGCGCAACAAATATCCGGAAGAAAATGGAGTGATACTGCACATCAGACAGACCCCTTAGAGTGGAACCCGAAACAGAAACGAGTTGGAGATGGGTCTGGAGGTGACACGGAGGAGGAGATCATGTGAGGAGGGAATGAAAACTTGTGCGCAATCGTGGAGCAGCTACAAAAGACTGCAAAATGAAATGAAGATGGGGTACTGAAGCCCTACAAACAATATGATAATAGTTAGAGAACCATTGGAAAACCAGCTGGGAGTACTGAACAGCTGTTTCGTCCTAGTTTGGGACTGTTCATCAGTACACACCCACCGGGATTCGAACCCAGGACCTTCTGGTTACAAGGTGAGCTCGTATACCATTAGGCCACTGGGACCCGATCCAATGGCCAGTGCATGAATTCTAACTTCTGCCAATTCACGACATAGTGCGACCGCTAGCCAATGTCTTCGGCGAGTATTTGTCCTCACACCCGATCTGCTGCACCCTACTGGTCATGACTTCTCACTAGAACTACCTACCTGAATAGGGTCAGTCGCTAGTGAGCAACTCATTGTTATTCAATCATCAATTGTTATTCATCATGAAATGATGAAATCTTGTAACCAATCAAATCCCTACAAACCAACACTTGAACATAATAATAATAATCGATAATGAACAACTATCAGCTACACCTGACAGACAATCAATACACTAATCGATTAAAATACAGATAATATGAATTATAAGGGCAAGAGAGAAAAGCAAATAAGAATTCACCTACTGTTCGTGATAAAATCGGTCTTTTTAAACCAGATGTGCGTACTGAGGATAACTGTAACTTATTACTGCTATTCATACTAAAACCACTGGTAGAACTGAATTTAGGCGATAATCTTGAACCTGAATTGCTAAATCGACGACATCGTGACATTGTTAAAAGAACAGTGCTCGGTAAGCCACCATCATCAGGTGAAACAGGCTCTCGTCCTAATCGTTTAGCTCGACTTGCAGATGACTAAAAATATTTTTTGAAAAATAAGAAGAAAAATCAAAAGTGTGTGTATAAGGTGGTCTGCTGAAGGCAACATAAACAAAAAGCAATTTATCCTGTATATCACTAGATCACTGATTAGCATTATAATGTATACATTCATCCTTACCAAAATAACATTTACACTCATAAAAGGACAAAACATAATACAAATTGCAACAAGAAGAACAGGACTAGGCTCAATACTAAAAGAGCCAAATAGCGAGAAAGTGGATGATAATAATGATGGTAATTATTTTAGTGTATTCGCGTATTGGTAAATTTTTAAATTAGAACCAAATCACATTGATTGACACATTAGTAATACACTAGTGTTAACTGATAGGAGTGAATCCTGACTTAATACTAGTGAATATCGAAACTATAATTCAATGACTGCCATAGTCAACTTTATAGAGCTACATATATATAATCTACCCCGGTTGTTGACTATCAGTCAATAAGTCACGCGCTTAAAGTTGGCTTTATCTACCACGATGTGGCTACTTTTCTTTTCATTCCTTTGCGTTCCAAGTGACACACTGGGCCTCAAGCTTGAGCTGTAGAGTTTCAGTAGCGGTGATGTTATCTTTGAGGGGTGGGGCTTCCAGCTAACCTCACGGCTAATCTCCACAATTTACATGGCTTACGACTAGCTAAGCGAGGTTGAAGCGCTCGTTGACCGTGAATCGAGTGCGAATTACTTGAGTGGTTGGCGAGCTTTCTGCCATTGAATAACCGAGTCGTATGTAGCCAGTTAGATAGCACTTAGGTCTGCTGAACAGTGTGTACATTATACATGGCTAGGTGAAACCATGGATCTAATCTATGAAGTTTTTTTAACTTTTGAAGTCAAGTAGGTTGGTATAGACTCCCTACCTAAGGCTTTCCAGATGCTAAGAACCAATAGCTGGAGACTTGTTAAGACTTGGCTGAAACTTTTCCTCAGTGGTGTAAATATATTTATTTCTTATCATTATCTAAATTCTAAAAACACTCACTAATCGTCATTTAATTATTCTCTCTCCCCCATACATCTCTGTCCATTGTAGTTTCATTACACTTCTTTCTTATATGTGATAAATAAAATAATTTGAACTGCTGCAATTCTGCGTAAATTTCTATGTTAATAAGTCAATTAGTTAAGTGTGTTTTACAAAATAGCATACTGATAGGGTATATAACTGATGGGCAACTACGCCTGCTCATCGAACTACAGTCCTAGACAAATTTTAGTTACATAGAGAAACCATTGGTTTATGTATTAAACATTACAGATAAAGTCGTGTAGTGCCACCCTGTTGTACAAGACACAACGCTTCTAGCAGAACTTGAACCTGTAACCTACTTGCTGCATGAGTTGATAAACTGTTTGTGAATACAGTGAAAAACTCCACCTTCAGATAAATACGCTTTGACATACAATCTTAAATTCAGTCTTTACATTAATCTACATGAAATCCATTAATAAACAGACATCTAGTCTATTTATAATTAGGTCAGTGAAAGAAATAGGTAACAAAGTGTCACCACTAACCATACTGAATAACAGTAACAGGATTGTCTATTTACAGGTAAATTCAATACCCTTGTGGTCTAATCACTCGACTTTAGATCACCGTCTCGAATCACACTCAAGGGTTTCCAGTGGTTATACAACAGGTGTGATACACACTTAATATAAAAACATTTGATTATTGATTTAAATTTGAACAATAAATTAAGATTAAACATGTATGATATGAAGTCTAAATGATGATTGGAAATATTAAGATAAGTTATGTCACATGTGTTTTGTAACAGCTGATAGCGCAAACTAGTTTCTCTGCTCACTGTTTCTATTATGCTTTTCTTGTACTTTCTTCTCTTGCTTCGCGTGCTACACGGAATGTGGCGACTTGAACTTCCGCACATTTGTGCAAAGTTCTATGTCGAAAACAGACAGACAAACCGAAGTAAATGAAATGGAACTCAGAAACAGGATATATATTAGCCAAAATTCAATAGCCTAAGAGCTAAAATAAACTACATTTCACTATCTGTATCCATTGTACTTACACAAATTTTCATAAACTAAAAGAAATGTTAGCTGAAATTCCGCTTTAAGTGATGTACAATCATGAAATATATCAAGGTTAGGAGTCTGTCTGCCTGTCTGTCTGTTTTCGACATAGAACTTTGCACAAATGTGCGGAAGTTCAAGTCGCCACACTCCGTGTAGCACGCGAAGCAAGAGAAGAAAGTACAAGAAAAGCATAATAGAGACAGTGAGCAGAGGTGTGAGACAAAGGAGTAATAAAGAAAAACAAAACAGTTTCATTGGAGATGGTTAGGAGTAAGGTATTTGGTAAGGAAGAGAACTCAATCGATGAGATTGTGAAGCTACATAGATTGAGGTGGCTAGAACAAATATTACGCATGTCGATTCACCCCTTTCATCAATGAGCAGCGTTAGCTGACATAGGGGTATCAGTCTGCTACCAGTTGCGTCTAAAATATTGGCTGCTGTCTTGCTTCACAGGCTGTGCAAAATACGTGAGAGATCGATTCGCGAAGAGCAGGCTGGGTTTCGTTCAGGTCGTGGACGCATTGACCATGTGTTCACTCTTCGTCAGTTGTTGGAACACCCCCACACGTATTGCAACCCAACAAGCCTTATTTTTCTTGATATTAGGGCTGCCTTCGATTCGTTGGACAGAACTGTGCTCTGGAACTGTCTGTTAGAGAGAGGTGTACCTGAGAGATTTGTAAACATCTTGAAAGCCCTATACAGAAACACCTCAGGTAGAGTGAGGGAATACAACCAACCATCATCACTGTTCCCAACCAACAGTGGGGTTAGACAGGGTTGCCCAATCTCTCCATTTCTCTTTAACTTTGCCATCGATAACATTCTGGAGTCAGCTCTGAAGGATGTGCATGAAAGTGATGTAGATCTGCTACCTGGAGATAGACTTTTCGACCTCGAGTATGTAGACGATATCGTCTTACTGTGCGATAGCATGCAGGCTACCCGAATCGCACTTAATCAGCTGGCGATCAGGTTCTGTAAGTATGGTATGTACTTTGCGCCGTCTAAGTGCAAGGTACTGTTACAAGACTGGTAGAAGCCTGTACCTGCACTCACTCTTGCAGGTGAGCCGCTTGAAGTTGTTGATAAGTTTATGTATCTGGGTAGTTGTGTGAGTGCTGGCGGAAGGGTGACGGATGAGATTTCCAACCGTACAGTGAAAGGTAGAGTGGCATACATCAACTTGGGCCACCTCTGGCGCCGTCGCGACGTTAGCCTGGCTGTCAAAGGTCGGGTATACAATGCTTCGGTGCGGGCTACTTCGCTCTACGCCTGCGAAACCTGGCCTCTCCGAGCTGAGGATGTGCGGCGACTCTGCATGTTCGGTCATCGCTGTCTCCGCAGGATTGCTTACGTTCGGTGGAATCATCGCGTAAGTAATTCTGAGGTTCAGCGGCGTGTGTCTGAACACAGTGGAGGTCACCATTCATTGAGTGTCGTCATGCGGAAACACCGGCTCCTGCGGCTTGGGCATGTGCTGAGAATGTCATCCCTGAGGCTTCCGTACAGGTCTCTGTTCGCTAGCCCTGGGACGGGATGGAAAAGGCGGGGGTGGTCAGTCCATGACGTGGCGTCGTGGGATGGAGGATTTTTGTACTAGATTAGCATCGGTTGGTGCGTCACGACTCCTTGGTTGGGGTCCGAGAGATAGCTCGAAACGTTATCAGATATGGCCAAGAATCATAATCAATGGCGAACATGTTGCAATTTCCTTCTTCCTTCACTTCCCGATGGTAGTTAACGAATACGGGTAGAAATAGAAATGAAATAAAGAAATACTGTTTGAACTTGTTAAGCATGACTGTTTTCATTCCAGATGAAGTTCTTTATTCGTTTTCTACTCATATTTTTACTTTTAATCTACGTTGTTTTATTATTATTATTATTGTGTGGCGCATCTTTCTTGGTGCCATACTGTACCAAGTTTTTTCTACGTTTAAATAATAATTAATAATAATAAGCTGACATAGGAGTAGGCTGAAAAAGAGTAAGAAGTAGTCAAGCCAAACTATGGCATCAGTTCACGAAGTCTTTTACAGTTATTTTGAGCAAGCCACGTAAGTAGTCACAGACTGCTTAGTTGGAGTCCCTGATATGGTAAGAACCAATGGCTGGAGACTATTGGTGATGTGACTCAAAACAGTTGTCAGCAGCACAGATGCATTCACTCTACGTAATCTCTTAAATCCTTTAAATCCTTATATTTTCAACGCCAATATTCTTTCTTCCACACATTTCTGCTTACTGTAGTCCTATTGAATTTCCTTTCAGTCCTTTTTCTTCACCTTTGTGCACTACATGCAATGTGGCGACTTTAAGTGCTGCACTTCTTTGCAAAGTCCTATGTTGAAACTCAATCAGTCAGTTAAATGATGCAGAGTTAATCAAATGTTTAAATTTCTTTTTTTTCATTATTATATCATTACTCTTATAATTAGGAAATCTTTACTGTTGTAAAAGCGAAAATTAAAAATAATGAACAGAAAGCCACTAACCATTGAATCAAAAGCGACATAGGCACTATCCAACGATGGTTGGCAAATAATTCGTTCAATTCGACCAAAACGTTGAAATTGATTCTGAAGATAAGCTTTTGTATTATTTCCGATTGGTAGACGGGATAATTTAACTGCAGGCCAATGGGTTTGGTCAACACTTTGCATGTCATTTGAATCTGAACATTTTGCATAATTGTAGAGGTCTTCAGGAGAGTCTAAATCTGGTTTTAAAAAAAGTTAAAACACACACAAAGGTTTATTCATAAGGCAAGAGAACAGCAGAACAATGATACAATTAAGGTAATAGATAACAAAACGAACTGTTATAGGCTCCCTACTGTTATCCAAGATTCTCCATTTAACCACATCCTATTGAAGTTAGCTCGAACTCCGTTACTTAAACAATATGAATACCACTCAGCAGTTTTTCTTTTTGGCTTATTAAACTTTATACTTTACAGTGATTAAGTTGGATAGCTTTTCAATTCATGGAAAAGCATTGAAAAGCTAGTACTAACGATTACCCTGTATTCTGTGTATACTGAAGACACGTCAAATACGAATTATCAACTGATGCATTGATCGTAAAACACTTAGCACAAGTAGATCCCACATCAAAAACATAGAAATCTTTGCAACAAAATGTAAACACGCAACACCTTGTTTAATTCTAGTTGGTTAACTGTCGACAATAAAATAACGTCAGGAATAATCGCAGAAAAAGGAAAAGCAACATATTCAAGCAGGTAGTAAACACAAGAAACCTGACGAAACAGAACTACTAGCTAACTGAATCAGCTGTACGTGTGTGTCCATATGAGAGGGAAATTATCAATTATAATACAAAGAACCGATGCATCAACGTGTTCGAATCAGAAAACAATAAATGGAGGAGACGAATTTTTCAATCAGCACCCGAGTAACGGTTCTATATGAACAGCCTCATTTATAAACAAAATGTAGTGAATTAATCTAATGGTTAAAAGTTGTTTAGAAATAATCTACCAATCTAAGGATATCAAAGAAGTGATACGAATTTTAAAAAAATTGACTAAATAATTAGTATTCACACTGTAAAATTGTAAAGTTTCAAAAGTGCTGTGTGACTGACAGTTTGCGTAGTTATGATTAAAGGACAAACAGTGATCGTTCCTGGGTAATGGTTAGAACTCAACTAGAACTCAAACACGCTGTGAGACACACTAGCGTACGACGGCTGATGATATTATTAACTTGTCCAGGCTGAAGTAAGTGGATATGAGTTCGAACACGTAACTTAGAGGCTGAAAGTAGAGTACTAAATCAGTAAGCCACATCTCTAGTCTTCTACAAACACCAATAAGGTATATGCGTTTGATGCTGTATGATACCTTCTAAAAATTGAAGTTTCAGCTCCTTAAATTCACAGAAGTGAGAAAAATAGGAACATTCAGCTTTAAAAAATAAAGCTTGAATGAGGTGAAAGAATATTTAACTTGATCGGCTTAGTCATGAATTAAAATTGTGCTAAAGTCCACAGTAGGAATAAAAGCTGGAAAAATTTTAAAGTAAGCTTACCTCTTCGTGCACCAGCACTCGTATTAATATTTACCGTCAAAGGTGTACTATACTGACTTTGTATGGGATTGCTATTACTTGGAGAAAGATCAAATAAGTTTCCTGATTTAACAACATTTTCTTCAGATTTGTGGTTCGATGTGAATCCAAAAGTTGGCATTCCACACTCTGTTTTGGATTCCGTAGTTGACGCTAACATACCAAAAAGTCCAGTATCAGAAGGTTTATTATCTCGTGTAGACGAAATTGGAAAGAGATTCCCACTAGAGATAGTTGGTACCCCAGAAAACAGGCCACTGGATTTCTCGGAACTCGATGAATCAAACATAATACAGCGTTATACGGAACTCAGTGAACTGCTGGACAAATAAATGTACATAAATAAGTATGTATAGAAAATGCAATAAAGGTAAACGAGAGATTTAAACGTTGACTGGTGAAACTGAGGAAAAATTGCATTTAACAGTTTTAACCGACTCCTAATAGGACTTAGAATTAGAATCACCAAAATTGATCTAGTTCCAACCTTAGCATGCGGTGACTGGTCATGCATATGAATGGTAAGAAGTCGTAAGTTGATATCAGTATAAAAATTGGACAATGTGGTAGAGTATAACTCCATCATATAAACTTGATATGATTATGAGCAATAGTTTGTGCTCAAAACTTCATCAGTTAATACTAGTGTACACTGTGTGATTTATCAAAATAAAATCTTATCCATAATGGAGAAGTCGTAAGTTATCAAGCTAAAAGTGTAAACTACTAAACCACATCAACATGACGCATACATAGCGTTTAAACGAAACTGAAAGCGAGACATACCTCGCTAAAATCCTAAATGCATACACATCTAAAACAATTAGTCACAGAAGTCAGATACCATTTGACATAAATCGGAGCATAATTATCACTAAAATCTCAAACCAGCAAAGTGTTATCTGATAGCCCATAACTGCTCAAAAACTACCACTTATTGTAGAAAAATTTGAAAACTCCCGGCAGGTATCACAACATATTTCAATCACATTCTGAATTTGTTTGATCATGCGCACAAACTGGAACTCGATGCTGGTTTTCAGCATCACTAGCTTCAATACAGCACCCTGTGCCTTTTCTATGCATCTTCGGAAGCAGCTGGGAAGCTACCGAGTTTGTATGTCAGTCTTATTTCAGACCTCACTGCCCTGATTCAGCAGTGACTGGCATTACTTTAGGACCATCAGACTTAGTTCACACAAGCTCATCTCGTGAGATGGGCTTGTGTAGTAAAGTTTATGCTATTCAAAACATTATGTGTTTGTTTTAGGGCGCTGCACCTCATGAGAAGGTAAATAAGAAGTGTGACTTCTAATCAGTTGTGTAGACTAAAAATGGACGTATGATGTTCCCCGTGATCCTAGAACAACATAGCACGTGCAACGGTAATTCGTACACTTTGCTACTATTTGAATACGTAAGCTTGTTTATTAACTGAAACGCGGTAGCAAACATCCTAATATATTTTTACAGCTAGGCAATATGCTGCAAATCACCAGGGAGGAAGAAGCAAAGGACGACCTTGACCTTGTGTGGCCCGGAAGAGAAACGACGCTCGCTGAACGACCTATCATTTCCAATATTCAATATATTTGTTGTAGCATTTTATAAATCTACCGCTTGATTCTGATTGGCCATCCTAGATCTCCAATAGATTGCAACACTGTGCATCTGTCATTCCATGTCAGCTGCTTAAATGAACAATATCTAGTTCTTTTCTTTATTCTTAGCTACTCAATTTAAAAGAATTAGTTTAATGAACTAGTTCGCCATTATTTCAGCCACCTGAATGGCGTAGACGGGGTTAGGAGAATGGTTAAAAGCAGTGTAATTTACTGTTGCCGTCAGTGAGTCCTCTGAACAACAAGTTGCCTCGTTATTTCGAAGAAAAGTGATCCGAAAAAAAATGCTAACCAATAAACCACCAAACTGATTCACTACCCAAAGTATCTAATGTATTTGTTACGAAACCTTTGTCAACAGCTGCAGGACCTCAGTATTATTATTTCCTTTAATTCCTAGAGGAACATAGGACCTCAGCCACACGTCTCCATTGAGTTCGGAGCGACTTTATTGCATATCCCCTCAATGACGCTTGTTGCTATGTTGCTATTGGTTTCAAGTGGCCTTGGTTTTCGGGGAAGATTTAACTGATGTAATATTGCGATTTCGTAGACATAACTCAGGCTCATACGTGAAAAACTATAATCCTGGAATAAAGACAAGTTGTTTAGAAGGTAAGGAGGGCATTATTTTTCAGTTTATTTGTATATATACTATTGTGTATCGAGTTGCACTGAGTTCTTAGTGCATTCATTTTCATTAAGTTCATTTTCATTAAGTGTAGTAATGAAGAATGGAATTTCTTCCACATCAGTGTTATTTAATTGAAGTTTTAATCTTTGTAGGCCCTTGAAGGAATAAATTCGGCACGGAGAACTCCTGTGGAAACCGAAAGCACTTTTAGTTTACTAAATCTTACTGACTCCCTGTATAAATTTGATCTGTCAAGTGTTTATGTAAAGTCTGCTGGTGTATTCAGTAAAGTAAAAGTTGTAGTGCTTAACTCCTAGACTTGTTGTAGTCATTGGTATTGCCAGAATACTACTTACTCGTTTTATGCAGCCGAAGTATTCAATTCTCACTTTATTGAGGAAATAGTATATTGCCTGCAAAAGTAGTGCGTCAGTTTACGAGTTTCATCAAGCCTACAGAATGTTTTCTGTTCACTGAATACTGTTTGCGAATTATCCGAGAAAACACATTTCCGAGTGGGATGTAATACAAAGCTGAATTCTTAAACTGTCATCCTTATAACAGTTCAATTCAATCACACATATAATAATATGATAGTCTGTAATTGACTTCAAAGACTTATCAGGGAATATTCTCATCACCTTACGGTTTGCTGATGATATTGTCCACCTAGACTATGAGAAGTAACCCCTGATGCTGTAAAATATGAAAATAATACCGGTGTTTGATTATAGGTGTCCGCGTTCTATCTCATCAGTAAAGCAGTATAATATGGCGAGTGCTGTTGAGGTTACGCATAAATGTTTAGGTGGGGAGGGTTAGTTAGCCTTCAAGGTAGGGAAGCTGAATAGGTTGAGATGGCTAGAACACGTGCTGGCATACTAAGCCATCGCCTTCCTCCAGGGACAATGCTGACCAGCACATGTTAAGGTTTAAAATGCGTTTGGGTCGGTCAAATGAAAAAGTGATATTGGTTCATAAAATTGTTGACAGTCGGCTGGAAGAAATACCGGAGATGTGACTGCAAATCTTTGGTACTGGTACTGGTGCATTCACTCTGTGTAATCTCACATATCTATTCAACTCATGTTTTTCCTTGTCATTATTTATTCTCCCTCACATTTTCTCTCGTTAAACTTCCATTTAGTTTTATGTCTCTACCTTCGTGTGCTACATGGAATGTGGTAAATTAAACAGGTGGACTTCTCTGCAAACTCATACTGAAAGCTACTCAGAATGACAGTCTGTGCGTAACTAAATGCGAAACATTGATAAATGATCTCCAAAATTTCAACAAATGATAAGTGTAGTTCATAATCTTGCTCTTTGTCAAATGAAAAATTGATACCTTTCGGTAATCTCTTCTTCCACCCGGGACTCGTCTCCTACTTTGCAACTGGATTTGTGCTTTGTCACATTTGTACTTAGTTTTCGGTCATTCAGCATTCGCCGTTGCTGTTGACTCAGCGCCTAGATGACTTTAGTTGAATAAGGTTTCGATCGTGCAAACACGGGTCCTGGGCAGTTGATTGGTTGCATTATCATTTCTCAAATGGAATGCAGCATACTGTATATTAGGGTAAATCTTCCGCCTCGCCTGCTGGAGCTGGTGTTCCTCAGGGTATTGTTATCTCTCTTTTTCTTTTTTCTCTCTCGTCTTACATGACCTTTCTCTTTCTAATGAGAGCAACTTCGTCAAATATGCTGGTGATCTGACCGTCTCACTTCCTGTCATGTTACAATGTGACTGCAGCAAACTTAACTGCTTCCTGTCTGTAGTCTAAGGTACGTGGTCTTACGTTAAATCCCTCTAAATGTCAGGCAGCTAACTTTCCCCTCACTCATAAGCGTGAACTGCGAAAACTGTGTCGTTCACAAGATGCTTGTATCAAAGAGGACACTGAAACAGAAACTAAGTCTAACATAAAATACCTTGGAGTAAATCTATCCTCTGGTCTTTCTTGGTCATTCTATATCTTGTCGATTTCTAAGAAAACCTTCAGTCTAGGTTACCATGTTATGTAGTCAAGACAGTCAAGAATCATTCAACCTCTCTTTTTACAACTTGTTAACTCTTGCATTGGTCTTTACTGCTCCCCCTTATTCTTTCCTGAATTACTCAAAAACGACTATGTCGTATTGTGTAGGGTATTAAGGTTGTCATTAGGGCAAGTGGTGTACCATTTCGTCAACTCGTTAATGCATTAGTTAAAAGACATCTAAACTCATGCGAGAAATGGTCTAAATCTATACTGTCTAACCCTCAACACCCCTTCTATTCTCAGCTCTTCCCTTTAATTTCATCTGATGGAACCAGAAGTCGGAATAAAAGATTATGTGATCGTTTTTGGAATTAAGTAATACCAAAAATTGTTGTCGTTTTCATTGCCAGCAGTTCACAGCCTATTGAGTTTACGCAAGTGCAATGCTCATTTCCCACTTTCCTGAGGAGACATCAACTAGGATTCTAGGAAAGTAGTACGTCAGTATGCGAATTTCATGAATCTGTAGACTACATTCCATTCACTTATTACTGAAACTAAACTATGAAGGAACTGATATTTCAAAGAAGGATGTAGTACAAGGCTCATTTCTACAACTGTCGTCCTTATTTTAGTTCACTTTCATCATAAATGTATTAACCGAATTGTCTGTTACTCACTTTAGGCCCTTACCAGGGAACAGTCTTGTCAACTTTTTGTATGCTGATGGTATTGTCCACTTAGGCTGCGAGAAGTGACCATTGAAACTGGAAGATATGAAAAGACTACTGGTTTTTGATCGTAGTGTCTGTACCCTTTCTTCTGTGTTAAGTAGTCTAATATGGTGAGTAATATTGGGGTTAAGCTTAGTGTTAAGTAGAAATGTGATTTCAAACGTTGTTAATGACACAGATGCATTCACTCTGTGTAATCGCACATATCTGAGCAACCCTTATATTTTTTCCATATGACTGTTCGGTTTTCATCACATTTCTGTTCATTAGAGTTCCATTTAATTTATTTTTTCCTCTACCTTTGTGTGCTACATGGAACGTGGTAACTTAAGCGGGTGCACTTGTGTGCACGCTTCTATGTTGAAAATCAGTCTGTCAGAATGATCTATAGTCCAGGTATAGTGAAATGTTAAAACGGGGATAAAAATAGGCAAAATGTCAACAAATGGTAATCGTATTTTTCATTTAGTTCTTGTCTAACTGAAAAAGTGATCTTACAATAATTTCTCCTCTTACCCGAGATAACTCTCACACTCTGTCTCGTTATATCTCATTAGTTAGTTAATTTTATCACGTAGCCCAACTGCGAAGTTGAAACACATCTGATGAAATATGTTATGCTTATTACCAACCAAATATAATATTTTTCAAGTGTGGAACGTCACAAATCGAACTGCTACACTTCTGTGCTGAGTTCCATGTTAAAACTCAGTCAGTCAGCTTTGTCACTACAAATGCGTAGTGTCACAACTACCTAGTGTTAATTAGCTTAAACAATTATTCATGCCGTTTCCTAAGTACTCTATGCATTTCCCGATTCCTTAAACTGTCCAGATAAAGTGCACCGAAGAGGAAAACATAAACCAAAAGTCAGTAACATGGACGTAAGAAATGGTGTGAATAGAAGTGAATGAGACGAGTGACCTTTTATCCCTGTAGTACGCTTAAGTAAAATACTCATGTATATGAATGAGGCAAAAAGTTGTGTGACTGACTTGATATGATGATGAGCAATAGTTTGTGCTCAAAACGCCACCAAGTAATATTGCTCTCCAACACTGTGTGATTTACCAAAATAAAATCGTATCCATAATGGAGTTATACTCTACCACAGTGCCCAAGTTTTATGCTTATATCAAAAATACTTATCTTGTGCGTTATGTGTCTCCTAATTGTTTCATTTTTGTCTTCCTCATTGCAGGTTGTCAGTCTCCGTAGACATTCTACCAGATGTCGTCATGCATAGTGTCTGCAAGCAGTCTTTCAATACATCTACCTCCCGCAAAGTTATTGTTACGATGCCTTTAAATCATTTACATTTGGCCGTAATACAATTAGTGTGCTAATATTACTGATGCAATGACATGCAAGACTTGTACATGTTACTGTGAAGCTAGTTTGTAATAACATTCCCTCCATAGTAAATAGAATGCTTGTGATAACAATTCGTCATTATCTTTTCATTGTGTTGATAGTTGCGTATATATTAGAAAAAAGCTAACCTTGTCGTATCAGTTCTCTAAATTACAATCACTAAGTGCCCATACCTCTGCTGAATACCAAGTGCTACTCGTGGCCCATGAAA